TCACTCACTCACTCACTCACTCACTCACTCACTCACTCACTCACTCACTCACTCACTCACTCACTCACTCACTCACTCACTCACTCACTCACTCACTCACTCACTCASTCACTCACTCACTCACTCATACAATACAATGTGTTTATTAAGCAAACAATTTATTGATAATAGTGTTATAGTAATCATTTTACACAATGAATAGTATGGGAATTGTGTTTCAATTTCTCATGTATTTTATACACCAGTGATGACAGCAAACTCTTATTATGGCAATGAATGCCAACGATATTAGTAAATACTATATATATATATATGTTGTGTAAATTCCGTGTATTTCAATATACAGAATATTCTGTTATCTATGAATAACATAATACCAGACAATAAGTTTGTCTTTCTTGATAAAAATTCAATAAAAATAAATGTACAATTTATAATTGTAATCATAATAAATATAGTTTGCAATGTTTATATTGTTATATTATGTAGAAATAAAATAATAGCTAATTAAGTGTAAGTCTTAAAAATTTTTAAGACAACATTTTTATACCTTAAATGTTGAAAAATTGAAACAAATACATATTAAGGGTAAATGGTTAGTAAAGTTTGTGTGTGTGTGTGTGTTTGTGTTTATGTGAAAATTCCTAATAATTGATATAATTATATGTAAGTTTTATATTAAATGATTTGATAGTGGGTGTGTTATTTGTATGAAAGAGATAGACAATTTAAAATATTTTTAAAACTATAGATAAAAATATTTGTAAACTATTTTATTGCATTTTCTTGCAGTTTTTGAAAAACAGTAATAACTATTGAAATAAGAAACTAATAAAATTAGTCAAAACTGTTTGGTAATTATCGTTGAACCTATAAAATAATTTACACTAAATATAATTTTATGTTTTATGTGACATTCAAAATTCAATACCTATTTTTAAAATAAAATGATAAATAGTTTTTATATGATTTATAAGAATAACACAAAAATTTATAATAACGTAAACAAACATTTAAATATTAATAAATTATTTTATTAAATAATATATATATATTAAATACAATTTATAAAACATATTATCTACTTATCTAATAAAAACATTAAAAAGTTGTTTATAAAAATTATTATTTATGAATATTTTGAGAATTTAAAGAATTTTTTTTGTGTGTAAAATTTTGCATTGCATTATACGGACTTTACAAACAAAACTAATGTGAAACGTGTGATTGTGTGTCTGTGTCTGCATAATATACTATCTATTATATTAATATTTATGTATATTTGTAAAGACATTATTATACAAAAATGTCACTTTAAATGACAGCATATCAATAGGATTTATATATATATATATATATTTACAATAATATTATATATTGTATGACAAAACTAGAAACATATGTGCCATAGGTTTGGCTCAATAATCACTGTTTCTATTGGATTCCGAGTTTGTGTTGTACGACATAATTGATACAAAATTCTGTATATTATAATTGTATGCATACATAAAATTGTATTTATTTGCATTCATATATATATATATAAAATATTGTACTGTATAATAAGTTTATATATATATAAATATAATATTATATTTAATATTATTTTGTCGCATATTCTGGTGACAGATATAGTGATGATAGGGAACTGGAGATAGAAATTCAATGGAAAATAGAGAGTGAAGGTTAAGAAAAAAGGAGGAAAATGGCATAAATTAAATCACATATACTGTACATACAGTTTATAACTTACTTATATATATAAATTATATATATATATATTATGTATATTTGAGAAGCTATGCAAATGCATGAATTTAGTAACTGTAATATTGTATGTTTAAATTTGGATTCACATTAAGATAGGATATAAATTATACACAAAACAATTTATTTGCCAAAATACAAAATTGGGTTAAAGTTAAATGCATTGATAGTAAGAATCTATGCAATTGAATATATATTGTATCATAAGTTATAAGTAAATAAATGGCACTTATAATTAAAATACAGTCAAATAATACATTCAATAGATACAAATGACACGGCATTACACACAATGCAAAAAAAGTTAAGTATAAAAAATAATAGTATTTAGTGATAAAATGATTCAAATACTATTAATCATTGATTAGCAAAAGTTTGTGATTTATACTCTCTCTCTCTCTCTCTCTCTCTCTCTCTCTCTCTCTCTCTCTCTCTCTCTCTCTTTGTATGTATGTGTGTGTTTAAAGTATCATTAAATATCTATCTATTTATACAAACTACATATAAGATTATTATTATTATTATTAGATAAAGTTTTCCATATATAATTATAATATATTTTAGTTTACAAATCATATACTTAAATATATATTTTTTTAAATGATATGCTATGTAAAAACGTTAATTTTAATGATAGATATATATAGACACACATTAATTAACTTTTGTGTTATAAATATTAAATATTATTTTTTCATTAATTTGAATCTATTTTTGTAGTTTAATATTTATATTTATACTGTATATTATTTGGTATTTTTTGACATTTATATTATTTTTTTATATTTTTAAATATTTTTTTATGTTGTCTACACTTTATTATTTTTATAATACACAAATACAGTAAATAAATGTATACATAAAACACAAAATTTTTATTTAGATTACATTTAATAATAATAATAATAATAATATAAATAATAGGAAACTCTAAAGCACTAGACATAATATTGTAACATAATATAACTTTTTAATAAAACTAATAATAATAATAATACTCTACATTTTGTGGCAAAATAAAACTCATTGAAATAAAAATAAATGTCATTTTATATCCATTATTATAGTAGGTTTTTATCACCCAGTTAAGTGGACCCAATATACAGTATATATATATAAAGTTGAATTAAAAAATGCATTACACTTTAGATTTTTTATTTTTATAGTTTATGTGTCCATTATTTTAAAAAATAGTAAAAAATGTTATTTGTTTTGATTATACGGGAAAAAAATCTCTGTCTGTTTCTATTAATAGTTTATACAAATTCTCAACAAAAAATAAATAAAATTTATTTGATATATTTATAAAAAAAATAATCCACTAAACAATAACAATTGAATTTTTAAATCAATACTGATCAAATTTGAGTAGCATATTTTACTTTATATTATTCCTAATATATATTGATATATAGTTATAATATTGTCAGTCATATATATATATATAAAATAAATATATAACAAACAAATATATAATAGTTTGAGCATTTTTTATCCTATTTTTTCCCAGTATAACATTCAGAGCTTTTAGTATTTTATTTTGTTTTCAATCTATGGTTGTGATAAAAAAACATAAATAAAAATATAATTTTTTTATATATATCATAAAGTCAGTGTATGGTTAACTTTACTTGATTATATAATTTTTTATTTTTATTTTATTCTATTTGTCTCAAAAAAAATAAATTTAAAAAAACATATTTCATGTTCAATATTAAAGTATTAAGTATATTTTATAATAATAATAATAATAACATCAAAAGTATATCTATTGAAAAATATCTTAAAAACATCTAAATATATGATTACTTTGAAAACATTGATTTATATTAATATTGTATAACATATTGATATATATTTTATATACTGTAGACCGTATATGAATCACATACAGTGTACACAATAAATAACACAATCTAATATATTAATGCAATAAATAAGATATTAGATTGAAATAATTTATACACTATTTGAAAAACACTTTCATATTAAATACATTAAATTTATTTTGAATATACTTTATACTGTATAATACATTTAGCGGAAACAGTATTTTTCTTATATATTTTTATAAAAAAAAATCTCAATTTTATATTCAATTTATTTTTAAAAGCATTCAATTAGATTTAGTAAATTTTAAACTAAAAATAAATTTTTACAAATTTAACTTAATGTAAATAATTTTTTTCTTAGACCCACATAAGATTTTTCTATTGAAATCAATATTTTATTAGCAAATGTTAGCTCAGGTGTAATTTTAATATGTTATATATATATATATATATAATTTGTGATTTATTTTATTTTATTTTTTATAGTGCAATCAAATATTTGATAAAAAATTATGTAAATTTTAAAAACTTTTTCTTTATTATATTTTGTTATATTTTCAATCAATTTGAATTTTATTTGTCAAATTATTTATTATACATCAAATTATATATTTTCTATTATATAAAATGATTATATTGTATGTTAGATAATTTATGTATTTTTGTTTTTACTTTTTATGTATTTCATACAACCAGTATATTACTGTATTATTGTTCAATTTATTTATGACACTCTCTCWCACACACACACACACACACATACACACACACACACACACACACACACACACACACACACACACACACACACACACACACACACACACACACACACACACACACACACACACACACACACACACACATACATACATACATACATACATACATACATACATACATACATACATACATACATACATACATACATACATACATACATACATACATACATACATACATAAACATATTAAATAAATAAAATGTGCCTTATTTTTAACGTTATTAACATTTAAGTTTATAAACTTTTGTTTCTCTAATAAACATCACTTTGAAATCGTATCAAATAACTGTTGTTTGTATTATACTGTATATGTTGTGATAGATTACAACTATGCTATTTATAGTCACACATTCATTCATTAAAAATAAACCATACAATGTTTTATACATTATATATAAATTTATATACATACAGTGTATACAGTATAATACACTATCCTTATTAAATTATATAAATAGGATAAAAATTTATTATTTATTAGAAAAAATATTTTTTCCGTTATATTTAACTGATGCTACTGTTAAAAATCACAACAACAACATAATGTATTGTTAGACATAGAAAAAAATATAATATAAATTTATATATATATATATATATATATGATTAACTATTTACTAGGGGTTGACGTCAAACTCAACTTAAAGATCAACCATTGGGTTGTAAATATAATTAGATATTCTGTACAACAATAGTGTTATTCATATCACACACACATAACAACAACATATTATATCATACAATGTGTATATCAATAGTAAAAACACACTGAGATTTCTTTATTTTATATATATATATATATATATATATATATACACACATATATTTTCAGTAATTTAATAGTAGCAAATTCCTTACCGTAAGTCAACATTTATTAAGATTTTAATATGTTATTAAAATTTTTGTATGTCTACTACAAACACATACACAGAGAAAGAAAGAAAGAGAGAGAGAGAGAGAGAGAGACTTAAATAAATAAAATTAATTTTAAATATATTAAAAACAATAATCTAATAAATTTAAAGTTCATTATTTAGATTTAATTAATTGTCAATAAATACTTATTGTTGTTGCTGTTATATTTTTTCAAAATTATTTAATTAAAAATAAAAACTTGATTTATGTTAATTAAATATCAATTTTTTGGTGTAGGTTTTTTTAAAAAAAAAATTATTTATTATAAGCACGTCTACTATAAGTCATGACATTATGTAAACAAATAGTTTTTTAACACAAACGCCACCTAAACCTAAATTAATACCTAAATCATAAACTTTTAACAATTTATTATTATTATTAAAATTGTCATTTAAGGTACTAAAAATAAAAATCTATTTTTATATAATGTATTTAATATATGATACAAATACATTTGAAAGTTATCATATTTATTAAAGTAAAAAATTCATTAGTTTTTATTAATTTTATTTTTATATACAGGTATAATAGAATAGACTATATTTTTAAATTATCAAATAATATAGACATTAATATTATAATTTAAAAATTAGTTTAATGTTATTCTATTTATATATAAATATTGACAAAAATAAATTTTATATTAAATAATAATTGAAATTAATATTTATAGATAATTTTTTTATAATAAAATTTTATTTATTTATATCTCAAATTACCATCAACTTATATACAATAAATAATATAACATATTGATATATATATATAACAATTATTATTAAGTAATTTGATACAATCATTAAATTTAAAGACTATAATAAAAAATTTGAGAAACTATAAAAATATAAATAATTTAATATTTATGTTTACTATAATTAATAACAATAAAATAACACTTAACTAATAAAAAATAAATATATTTTCTAAAAAAATTAAATTAAAAAACTATTTACAAAAAATATAAATACAATAATATTTGTCAACTATATTTTACACAATATTTTACTTTTAAAAACATATTTAATTAAATAAAAATCAAATAATTAACTTAAAATAGTTTCACTATTTCTATCATTATGTATATATATATATATTAAAAAAAATCACAATTTATGGTATAAATACTTTAACATCTCTTAGCGGATGTTTTTGACGGGTATTTACATAAAGCTGTTTCATAGTATTGTCAATATTATTATTGTTGTTATTATTATTAATATTATTATTATAATTATTATTACCGTTTCTAACAACAGTATTTTTATTATCATTATCAATACTATTACCAGCGTCTATATTATTATTATTATTATTATTGATATTATTGTTATTAGGATTACTGTGGCGTTTGGGCCGCAGATTAACTTTGATTAGTAGGACAATAAGGGCCAGTACTCTGAGGACAATGAGTTTGCAAACTAATATTTTGATGTTTGAATAAAACTGTTGGTCTTGAAAGCCAAACACAAACATAACACTTGAGAACTCATTACCGGAACACCGATTAAATCCATAGAATAGTATTAATATGCATTCAAACAGTAGTTTAAATGTCGACAGATTACTGAACCATTGGATAGCATAGTGTAGTTCATTGATGGGAACAAAATAGTTGCTTAAAAGAAATAGTAGTAAATAAAGGGCTACAGAAAATAGGACAGCAATCTTCTGGTTGTCGCTAAATATTATGCCAATCAGATGACCGAAACTCTGTATGCATAGTATGCCTATTGTCAGAAAGTATAGATAAAAGACAAATATTCGGGTGCCCTCGTAAATGTCGATGATATAGATGTATAGGAACAATGTGATTATGGTAGGTATGAGCTCTTCGATACATTTGGCCCAGTAGTAACAACCAGTACTGTACCAACCTATTTGATAATAATCATAGAAAATAATGTATTAAAATTTAATATGCTATTAACATAAATTTAAAACATTTTTAAAGTGTAATATTTTTATATGATAATAATTAATTTTGTTAATATCTGTATATATATATATATATTAATATATTCAAAATATAATAATAATTAATTTTGTTTTTACTATTATTATGTTAATAATATATATATATATATTGGTGCTGTAATTTACAGATATGATAGTTTTGGAAAACTTGTTGTTATTATCATTATTGTAGTGAAATACTAATTTTTATATGTATATAGAAATTATTCTGTACAGTATTTATTACACTAAAATCAATGAACATAAATGCATATATATATATATATATATATATATAATTTATATAAGATTAGTAAATCTGCTTATTTCTCTAGCCATTAAGTTAAGTACAATTAGTAAAACATAAAAATATTAATATAATACTATATATAACCTATGCATATATTATTTATATTTTTAAAAGCAAAAACATAATATTTATTACTATGAGGGAATGTATATATAATATATAAATTTATGTATATGTCATCGCAATATACTGATATAGTGTATTGCACTGGGATTTACTGATACTCATCGGATGCGCTCAAGTATTACACAAACATTATTTAATATACGGATTTTTCTGCGACATACAAGTTAAGTCTCACATGTCATCAACCAAATGGATGCACACAACTAGTTATATAACTTTGGAAACGGTATTATACATCATTGGTTTAAGTAATATATATAAAATTGAAATTAAAATTTTAAATTTTTTAGCTTAAATATTGATTTTCCAATCAATCAACTAATATATGGCTAATGTCATACCACTATGTGTATGTGTATGTGTATGTGTATGTGTATGTGTATGTGTATGTGTATGTGTATGTGTATGTGTATGTGTATGTGTATGTGTATGTGTATGTGTATGTGTATGTGTATGTGTATGTGTATGTGTATGTGTATGTGTATGTGTATGTGTATGTGTATGTGTATGTGTATGTGTATGTGTATGTGTATGTGTATGTATTTAAGATGTTTATTTAATAAATCTCATATACTATACACGATATACTATTACATTAAAATATAATATATACGTATTTGTTGTTTGTTTTGACAGCAACGATGAAAAATAAATAAAATTATAAATTGATTGATATTAAATTGTTTTATAATAAGTGTCACTTTTTTTACTAAATACAATATAATTTTGTTTTTTTGAAAATACTAGTTGTGCTAACATTCCCAAATAACTGGGTGCTCACATTTGGTAGATATTGGCCGTCAAATAAACACAATATAACAAATTAACAATAAATCAAAAAATAAATAGTTTACTGTATATTTATGTTTTGAAATTTTGTTTTTTCATATTTCTATAGCCTATATAAAGTGATAATCTCTGTTTACTCAGTAAACACATAAACATTAAATATATCTCACAGAAAAAAAACTATATTTAGGCCTAAAAATAGCTAAATATTTTTTTGCGATGATATCAAATATCACAAACACATTATATTTAATATCCTATAAATACGGTTATAATATATTTGAGAGTTTTAGGAGGAAGTTATAAGTCAAATGTGTGTTAATACATGAGATTAATACCATTGATAAGATATAGTTGTATTCAATACACAACACAATAAATAATAGTTAGTTATTATAAAAGACATACCATTTCTGTGTTCATTGAGAAAGATCTTGACGTCCGACGTGAATGTCATAGTTGTGACCACAATCTGGACAAACGTTATCAACAAAATGACCAAAAAATTGTAACTAATATTTTGCGATAACAGCGACTCTTCTTCGAGCTTCTGAACCGATTTGTCGCAAGTGTTGGGATAATCGTATTGAAAGTTCACACAACCGGTTGGCTGACCGATGTTTTTCGGGAAAAACAATGTCAACGAATAGCCGAACACTAGTGTGGCCACTATTTTCATGAGTATAAGTTTCCAGTTGTATCGGTAGGTGTAGGTTATAATACGCGACAGTAGAAACCAGAAGTCAATTAATGCAAACCGTTTGGATTTGGTTACAATGCCGTCGGCGGCCAAAAGTGTTTCCGTTCGGCACCGGTTGGATAGTACCTGTTTGTCTGATTCGGTTCGGGCCATCATTTTGGCTACTGTCTGATCCTCGTAGCCATTGCACGCGTGCTTCAACAACAGTTCTATGGGCACCTGTATGTCGGAGCACTGGACATCGCAAGCGTTCAAATGTTGTTTGAGTAACTGTGGTCGACCTGAGTAGACACAGACACCGCCGTTGGCCAATACGTATAACTTGTCAAACATCATCAGTACATCAGAGTTAGGCTGATGTATGGATGTTATGATAGATATGTTGTGCTTACGGGACATGTTTTTTAAGCATTTCATCACCTGATAGGAAACACACATCAAATATTATGTTAATTATGACTAAAAAAAATAATTTTAAGTTTTATTATTAAGAAAATGCTTATATGTTTACCACTTCAGCCGCATTGCTATCGAGACCAGTGGTCGGTTCATCAATACATATGAGGTTAGGCTTATTAACTGAAGTCAACTCCATGGCCATCACCAGACGCTTCTGTTCGCCAGTACTACAGTTCTGGGCGTTACTGTTGGCAATATCGCTGATGAGCAGATCAACCATAAGATTTTTAATACTAGTCAAGTGATCCATTTGTTTAGTGTCACTATTCTTAAGTTTGGACGCATAGAGGAGTGTCTGTTCGGCTGTCAGTCCACTGATCAGGTGTTCCCTAACGTCTTGCGATATAAAACATGTTTTTATTTTGCGGTGTTTACTCAAATAGATTTTTGTGTCGTCGGTCATCAGCGACTGGTATCGGCCGTTCAGACACTTCAACAGTGATGTCTTTCCGGCACCGGATGGTCCCATCAGTGCCGTCATTGTACCGATTTCCACAAAACCGTTCAATTGGCGCAAAATAGTCTTCTCTTTGGTCATAAAAAATTGTTTTTGATTTTTTAGTGTCAAATCCATCCAAGCAATACACAACTTATGGTCCATTGGATTCAGTTCAGTGGTGTCCAACTGGCCGATGATGTCGTTATCGATAACATAAACCGATTTGTTGCTTACGGTTGATATTTTACGTACTTTTAACAGTTCCGGTTCCGACCCATTGATTATATATGAATGAAAACACTGTAGTTTTCGTACGTATTTTTGCAGTCTTACTAAAAGACTTCTATTGACAAATGTGTTGACTTTAAAGTAGAGTACAATAAATGCTAATATTCTTAGACTGATTGCATAGATAACCAAATATTTGGCGTATATATAAAACAAATCGTCAACCATAGTATACTTGTGCATCACTATAGACAACTGTCCTTTCGGGCACCGGTCGAATCCATAGATTATGATCAGTACAGAGTAGAAGACAAACTTATTGAACGATATATCGCTTATTATCAAAAATATTTGCGGCATTTCGTTCAGCGGCGTAAATATATTGCAAAACATACAGAGCATCAAATAGAGACCAATGGACACACCAATAGCCAACTGTTCCGATTTGATGCATATTATGCCAACCAAATAACCAAAACCTTGTGAGCACAGCATACCAAATATAATGATAAATGTGTACAAAAATATTCTGGTCATATCAAACAACTGGCCACTGATATAGTAGTTTATAAATGCATAGTTAATAGAGAATATGATGGTTGGGATTAATTCAACGATATTTTTGGCCATATAGTAGGAGCCGGTACTATACCATTCTATAGGTGGGTGCAAAATAAGCAATTGTTATTAGTAATGTATTTGGGATTTTTTTTGTTGTTGAAAAAATCAATTAAATATGATTGGCAAATTATAATTTATATATTTGATAATATTAATTTATTAGAAATTTTTGTTGTTGATGCTTTCGAGATAATTCAATAAATAAATAAATAAATAAATTGCTCACTAATTTATAATTTTTAGTTTAATTTTAATAATAAATATATTCTTATATTAATAACATTCAGAGAATTTCTATAGACATTGAGGAAATATCTCTCATCAGACTTCATAATTTAATGTATGTGTACATTGAATCCGACCTTTTATTCAACAAAAAAAGATTAACCGTATCTTTCCGATGAAATCCTTGATATGGAAAGARAGARAGAGARAGAGAGAGAGAGAGAGAGAGAGAGAGAGAGAGAGAGAGAGAGAGAGAGAGAGAGAGAGAGAGAGAGAGTTATCTAACCTTCTTCTRAATTTACAGCACATAATAAACTAGAAAATCCTTATAAAACATGACTTCACACACACATACACTCATCTCATCATTATTATGAATGTCATTGAAGATACCAATCCCAGTAGTGGTGACTGTATTTATTATATAACATATTGTATTATACAATGTAAAAAAATAACTAATAAATAATCATTAAATACATTCGTTATATATATATTTATATATTGTATATAACGGTAAATGTCATAATTGCTTAACTAATGTTAATCTCTGTGTCTAATTTAGATAAGACAACAATTTCTATGTATAAAAAAGCTATGTTTGAGAGAGAATTTGTTTTCAGGCAATGTTTGATGTGTTTTAAAATTTTCTAAAAAACATTTTTCTATGGATTTAAATATCAAATTTTTATATTCACGTAATTCCTATTTCGTTAATATTTATTATAAGTCTATTCTTGAACTATATTTTTTTCACTACACATATTACTAGTGTATTAAAGCTTTTTTTTTATTTGATACAAAAAACTCATAGATCATATAAATAATATTTTTTATATATATATAATATAACATTAAAAATTTAACATTATCTTATCTCTTCATAAATAAAATAAATATGCATTATAATATTAAATTTTAAAATATTTTTTATGTCTACTGTATAATATTAAAAAAAAGATTTATTTTATATATATATTAATATTTTTGTGTTTAAGTTTTTTATTAATTAAAATTTCAATGATATGTTCAATAATTTTAATTAAATAATTTTCAATAATAAAATTTTTCCATTAATTATAAACTAATTAATTATAATTATTTAGAAAAATTATATATTTAAAATTTTTATCTTATTTTTGTGTAATAAAATAAATAAATAAGATATATTTAATGTAAATATCACTTTACATTAAAAATTAATTGATAACTAATCAATTTTTTCCTAATAAATGATATTGAAATATTGATATAATTAATTGCTTTAAAAAAACGATAAATAAATAAACAAAAAACATTACATTAAGTTCAGTCATTAATAATTATTGAGTGAAAACATGCTATCATGCAATGCAATACCGGTTTAATATCAAATAAAATACAAAAAAATAAAATTTGTTTTTTTTGAATAAATTATTATTTTCTTTATATAATTTAAAAGCTAATATAGAGCTAATATAAATAAATTAGTTATATTGAAAAATCTAATGGGAAGTCATAAAATAAGGTGTGTTTTTCACTTACTATTTCTGTGTTCACCCATAAAGATCTTGACATCGGCTGTAAAAGTCAATGTTGTCGTACATATCTGTATGAACATCACCAACACTGACGTAAAGGCCTGGTATTTAAGATTCTGATCCAATAGTGAGTCGTCGGTCAACTGATTGAAACAACTCTGGTTTGTGCGGAATGTATACTCCAGACAACCGTCCGGACGACCGATATTATAGTTGACTGTTTTGGCAATCAGTAGCGGACAGAAAATATAAAACAATAGCTGAATAAATAGGGTTTTCCAATGGGATAGATAGGTGTGTCTCATTGTCCGCAACAATAGGTACCAAACGTCCAGCATATTGAAACATTTGCTCTCAAATGGTATGCCATTAGGACTGAGCTTAGTGTCTATTTTGCATTTTTGATGCAAAACTAGCCGATTATCTTCCTGAGCTTTTTTGGCCAGTTTGATCACCTGGCGATTGTCGGCACCTCGTGTGGCCACTTTGAGTGTCACCTCAATGGGCACCTGATGTTCCTGACACTGTATCTGGCATTGATTGAGATGGTGTTCCAGTTGTCGGGGTGGACCAAAATATACACAGACACCTCCTTTGGCCAAAACATATAATTTGTCAAACATTAGGAGGGCGTCGGTATTGGGCTGATGTATGGATGTTATGATCGATATATTGTGCTTACGGGACAGTAGTCTCAAATATTCAATGACCTATTTTTTAATATTGAAATTTTAAATTATGAATAAATAGATGAAATATATTTGTTTATTCTAAGATTTGTCTCCAATTAAATAATTTTATTAAGCTTTTTATAAAGCTATAGATAAAAATATATATTATTTAATCAATTTTTCTATTCTTTAATTAGAATATAGTTTTTAATTTATATTTTAATTATTTAACTTTATTAATAAAAATTAAAGTATAAATTTAATAATAATAATAATCAATTTATTAATAATAACATAATTATTATTATTATCAAAAGTATATATAATAATAGTAATTAATATTCAATGCAAGTATCAAAATTTTATGGCAAAAATTTACAAAAAAAATATCTCATTTAAAAACCTTTTATATAATTAATGAAAGCCATAAGTCATTCGTTGAGATAATTAATTATTATAATACATTATACCATAAACTTATTTTTTGATATACATAATACATGTAATTAATGGCCATAATTGTTAACATAAAAAAAGTTGAATAAAACAAATTTTATTTTTGTTATTTTCATTAATAGCAATGCTAAGAAAAATCAATTTCAATACATCTTTTATATGTTAACTTTTATGCAATAAATTATATAATTGTAACAAAAAAAATGTACATTAAAATTAAATATATTTTTTTTATTTATACATTTTTGCATTCAATAATGAAAACATATAAAAGTGTTATTCAATTTGAATTTTTAAGTTAAAAAATAGCAAATATAAAAAATTTAACTTAATTTTTATTTTTTAACTGTATTTTTTTGTGAACTGTTATTGAAGCTTTATAATTTTAAAGTTATATATATATATAAATGTTAAGTAAAATAATTAAAACGATTTTCTAAAATAACTAACAAAAATCATCTAAAACTATATATATTGCTAAATATTATCTATAAAACTATGTCTCCTTCAGTATAATTATTACATACAATATAATAAACATATTATATAGAAAATGATAATATAATTTGATAGATATCTATCTATAATAATAAATCATATCAATGATTTTCTGAATTTAAAACAAAATATTATTTAAGACAATTAAAAATTATCTTAAACTAGAATTTTCTTTAAATATTTAATATATTCAAACTTCAAACTTTATATAGAAATATTTAAATAGAAAGTTTTTTTTACACATTTTATTGACTAAGTATTAATACAAATACAGTTTTAAATATAATTATTATCATTCATAAGTAAGTAATATATTTCAAAGCATATTAAACAACAAAAAATATACTTAAATATAATTAATCATTTAATTTAAATACACACACACACAGAAAAAAATAATTATGTTTTTCTTATTATTTTATTATACTTTTAAAGTCATTAATCGTTTTTAGTATTATAAAAAAAATAAAAATCAAATATAACCCAAAACCATAATATTTAATTTTCTTTAAGTTTTTTAATATTTATCTGTCGATTTGTTTGACATAACTTATCAAATTAGTAATGAAAAACTAATATTTATATATGAAAGTTATGTATTTAGCCTTTAAACAAGTCGTATATATAAATAAATAGTATTTAATGATATATTTATATGTAATAAAATTTATATAACTGACCTCTTTTTTTCTTTCAAACACATGATATATAATACTTAATAAAATGTTTAGTATATAAAAATATATAATAAAATTTAATGAAAATTTTCTGAGAAAAACTTATTTTTTATATTATCTAATTTTAATCAATTAAAACACAACAGTCGACTACTTGTTACATAAAAATTAATTCACTGATTCACGGATTGATAGTATACATAGAGGTCGTCCCTAAAAAAACCTCACTTTATATTATAAAGCATTTGTAACTTATTAGTGAAATCCGTTTTTTATGACTTAATATCTAAATTAGATTTTAAGTGTTTTTTTTCTCTCTCTCTTTATTTATTTTAGTCATTTTTTGAAGGCATTTCTCCGGCACTGAACCAATCGATTCTGTAAACAACAGTATGTATTGTTTAAGAGAGAGAGAGAGAGAGAGAGAGAGAGGAAAGGTCGGGAAAAGCTATGCATTTAGTTGGTCCACCAGATTGGAGGACACATACCTCACACAAACACATAATAAAATCAGATATAACTTTCAAAATTCATATGACTTGGTTATAGGTTTGTCTTTGATATTAATTAATCCTATAATTATTATTATAATTTATGCCACAAATTGACGTAAAACTTAACATAAACTTGTTATATGATTATTACTGTATACTATTATATTAATATTATTATTGGTATTAATATTATATTTTTCTAATCTACTTATAAAAATATAATATAAATTTTTATTTTTTTTAAATATTTTAATTTATAATTGTAAAAAATCAAAAACTATTATTAAATGATTTATCACTACTATATCTAATACAAACATTAAAATAAAATCAAACTTAAAATTGTTAGATAAATTATTACTTAACTACATATTCATTTGATATCATTAATATAAATAACATATAATAAAAAATATTTTAGTTTTCTTTTACTAATCGAAAAAAACATATGAAATGTTATTTCAAAACATTTCGCAACTAATGATATATCATTAGTTCAAAAAAAAAGTTATAGAAATCTAATAAATAATATATTTCCAAATATAGTAATTTATGAATTATATTTATACGATAAAAACTTTTATGTAATATTAGAAATTAATTATTTAATAACAAATTATTTAATCATAAACTATTTACATCACTTATATAATTATTGTAATGCCAAAAATTATGATGAATTATACAGTATATCAATAATACAGGAAATAATTAATTATTATATTGATTTCAATAGTAATAATAATAATAATGAAAATATTACAGTAAAAAAACTATAATGCAATACAACTATACAGGTATTAGTAAATAATAAACTGTAATAAAAAAATATAATATAAAATGTTTGATTGCATACCATTTCTGCGGCATTACTGTCCAATCCAGAGGTCGGTTCATCGATACAAATAAGGTTTGGTTTTATATAAGAAGTCAATTCCAATGCAATGGTTAGTCGTCTTTGTTCACCACCGGAACAGTTCTCGACTCGTGTGTCTGCGATGTCCGTACGGGTCATCAACTCAAACAACAATTGGTTGACATTTTTCTCGTGATCCACAAAGAAGTCATTGTCGCTGTTCTTCAATTTGGATGCATATAACAGATTTTGTCGGGCAGTCAGCCCGAGAACCAACTGTTCATTTTGGTTCTGACCTATCAGACAGGCCCTGATCTTCTCGCCAGAGCTCATGTATATCTTTGATCGATGACTGAGTCCAGCGCTATTGATTTGGCCGTTAATGCACTTCAATAGTGTAGTTTTGCCGGCACCGGACGGTCCCATCAGTGCATTCAATGTACCGAAGCTTACGTAGCCATTGACGTCATTTAGGATAATCTTTGGCCGTTTGGTCCACAAAGACTTGACTTTATAGGTCAGATCACACCAAGCGATGGCTATTTTCTCATCCATGATCTTATCGTTGCCGACAAATGTTTGAGTATTCAAATTGTTCATTAAACTCATTTTTAATAAAATTAAAAATATATAATTTTAATTAACATATAATATAAAATATAACATAAAAATAAAACTTATAAAATGTCAATATTTTTCAAATTGCAATTACTTTGCAAAATCAATACAACTTTTTTAAGATAGAGTTTCAAAAATATTATGAAAGTATTCATCACTTTTATATTTATTTAAATTGTTATTATATTACTATTAGTTGTCTAATACTACTATAATATTAAGTGTTTCACATTAAGTGGTTGTCTCGTAAATGATTAACTTTCTTAGTTTGCATTCATTTAATATATGAAAAAATCATTGACAAATATCTAATAAGACATCCACTGTAATCACACATACATAAGCACACACCACACACACACTTGCATAGACGCACACACACGACAAGGTTGTAAATTACAACTTGTAATACATTATTGCATTCATAGAGTATACCCATTGCCTTCAATTTCAAGTTCATCAACAGTAGCATTATATAACATGAATTATATCATATGTTTTAATATATTATACAATTTATAATAGTATGATATATGTTTAACAGTGGGGCGTAATCGACTAATTAATGTATAGGTAGCTTAAACTAAGCAATTTAAATTAGTTTTTTTTTGAAAAATTTAATTTAAGAAAAAATATTTTTTTTTTTTAAAATGTCTTATAACTAATAATATCAATTTCATAGATGATAACTTAATAGAGTTAAATATATAACTATAGTAATATTAGTATAATTTTATAATGTTTTATATATTATATGTAATTTTATATTTTTATTCATTCAGCCGTTTAATTAATTAGTAACATTTTTTGACTGTAAAATGATTGATTTGTAAAATATTATAATTTGTTTATAATTTATATATAAAATTAGTTTTAGACAAAATGTAGACAATATTTTGTTTGCATAAAAATTTTGTTTTAATTAGTTGTGTGCATATATTTGCATTAATTAATACAATAATATTTTTGGATACACTATTTAATTAATGTTATACTGTATTCAGAATTGGGTTATATTTTTCAAAATATAGAAATTTCCATATATTTAATAACATATATATATATATATATATATATATATTAAACAAGGAAATCATATCAAACTCTAATTATATATCATATATATATTAAATATATACTAAATATATGTATAGTATTATAGAATCAAAGGTTTTGTTATATGAATAAATAAAATTGAATTATTTAAGTGAAAATAATTATTTTATTATTAATTATGTAAAATACAATTTTTTAATTAATAAAATTTATACACGAATAATTAAATCTATAGTATAGGCTTATGGACATAAGTATTTAGTTAATATTACAATAAACATATTAAATAATATTTAAAAATTCATAATTTACAGTAATTAAAATTACGTCAATGAATGACATAATTATATTATAAAGGGATTAATTACTTTTCAAAGGCAAACCTATTAAAAACGACATGAATTAAGATGTATATCTGATTGTGTATGTGTTTGTGTGAGGTATGTGTCCTCCAATTTGGTGGTCCAACTGATTGTATAGCTTTTCCCGACCTCTCCTCACAAACAATACATACTGTTGTTTACAGAATCGATTGGTTCAGTGCCGGAGAAATGCCTTCAAAATTAGCTCAACAAAGAAAAAACACTTTAAAAATCTAATTTAGATATTTAGCCATTAAATTGGATTTTTCTGAAATATATATACAGTATATATATATATTATAGTTATGAAATGGTATGCTTAAAATGACTGTATTTTTATATTGACGACCTCTATGTATACTATCAATCCGTGAATCAGTGAATTAAATTTTATGTACCGATTAGTCGACTGTTGTTTTATGCGATTATAAAAATAGATAATATATTGTATTTTATTTTAATATAAACACTATCTGGGAAACAACTTTCATTTGATTTAAACTTATTATAACTTTTTTATTTGTATAATAAGAAAAATTCAGTGAAATGAATAATATTTATTGTAATATTAAAAATTTTTTTAATTCATTTTCCTTTATATTTTTGTTGTCTTTTCGATAAAAAAGTTTTCCAGTTAGGCAACAAAAATATATAGGAATTTAATTGTATTTAAAAAATTTAAAATTACAATAATTATATTCTTCCTCTAAAATAATCACTTAAATAATATATGCATATATACTTATATGCAATATTATATAAGTTTATATATAACCCATTATGTTTATAATTATTCAAAAAATGAATTAAATTATTATATAATAAATATAGTATATAAATTTTTTAAGTATGATGTTTGTTTTATTTTTTAATTAAAAAATATTTGTGACTTCAAAATCAAGTATAATAAAAAAGCATTGATTAAAAAAAATATAAGTATTACAATTTCTTATGAAACTTTACAATTTTTATAAAATATTTATAATCTATAGGTTATTATAACGAAATAAAACTTATTTAGTGCTAAAATTATTACTTATACCTGTAATGAAATAATAATTTATAATACTGTTAACTTAGGATTTATTTGTAATATAGATTTTAAAACAACATTATATAACATATTTCATTAAATAGTATAGTCATTGAAATGATTTATTAGTTAAACAGATATTTATCATTTATCCTATCAATCAGTATAGATGTTAATTGTTTGCTAACATAGATTGAAGGAAACATTTTTATCATTATTATTGATTTTATAATATGAATCTATATATTTGCATAAGAATTGAATTTTGGGACAAATGTTAAAAAATATATATTATTTAAATGTTTTAATTATAAATCTTTTTAATTAAACTATTACAACAAAAAATTTATTATTATTATTGGAATTTACGCTTCAATAACATATTCATATAAATTGAAAATTTTTAATATCAGTTTAAATTAAATATTTTATTTTTACTAACTTAACTTCAAGTTAAATGTATTTCAATAAAAAAAGATATTGAGTTAAAGTAATTAATTTCAATTGTGTGCATTTATTCAATTTATTTAATGAATGTCAAAATTATTTACTGATATGTTTGGAAATTAAATATTAATTAATGATATGTCAATATCACATTCAAGTTATTTAAAAAATTAATAAGATATTAATTATTAATATTTATATAAATTGATATTTGTAATTATTGATTGGTGTGATTTATTCAATATATCAATACATTATTAATCATTCAAATTTTTAAAAATAAAATACTATTAATTATATTGGTAGTAAAAGGGTTATTATATATTGTAAAATATTATAAATATAATTAACTCCTATTGATACAAATATTGAATAATATAATAAATATTGAATAAAAAACAAACAATAGACATATTGAAAAAAATTTTAATAATTTTTTTAAAAACCATTTAGGGGTAAAGCCTTGTCACATTTTATTATATAGCATTTTAAATATTTTAATATTAAATTTTTATTATACAATAGATCAGATAATTTTTATATTCATATTTAAAGTCTAACAAAAAAATACATAACTAAGATTATCTATCATAGTTAACAAAATGATACTATGGAGTTAAAATATAGTTCAAGACTAGAGTTTCAATAAATACAGTAATACAGTATTAATATTACATAGTATCAATGTGTGTGTGTGTGTGTGTGTGTGTGTGTGTGTGTGTGTGTGTGTGTGTGTGAGAGAGAGAGAGAGAGAGAGAGAGAGAGAGAGAGAGAGAGAGAGAGAGAGAGAGAGAGAGAGAGGTAATAGTTATAAAAAAATATTTTATGTCGTATTTTAAAGCACTGTTTTATATTGCCTCAAAACAAATTATTTCAATTTTATCGTTTATAAAAAATTTATATACTGCATATTTTTTTATAAATGTATTACTAGTACAGTAAAATAGCTATTAGACAGCTAAACGCTTATCTAAATTAAACTCCGATATTAGCATTAGATAAGAGATTATGATATTTTATTATACAACAGTGCCTTTAATGATTATTTATTAGCTATATATATACATACATTATATAATATATATGTATATTTGTTGCTTATATAACTTATATAATTCAAGTTAGTAGTCAATGTGATCAGTAGTACTCAATGACACTATAGTGATGAGGTTATATCATATACATACCTATATTCCTTATTGAATAAGAGAGAGAGAGAGAGAGAGAGAGAGAGAGARAGARAGAGAGAGAGAGAGTACAGTTATGATGGACACGGATTTTCCAATTTAATATTATGGATACACGTAGAGGAAGATTAACTAAATCTCATTTTTCAATCTATTTGAATACATATCAAGGATATCATTAGGAAAGTTACTGTTAATCCCTGTTTGCCTCATATTTCTTAATATTATATAATGAAAGGTTGGATTCAATGTTTTCAAATAGTTTTGTCTGATGAGTGATGTTTCCTCAACACTGAAATCCATATCTATGTTAAAAAATATATCTAATTAAAAAGTTTTTAGATAAAAAATTAATTGATTAGTTTCTTTAAATATATATATATATATATATATTTCAAACATATTTACGGTACTGAAAAGTAATAATAGTATTTAAAACTAGAATCTATTACTACTAATATAATTAAACTTTACTAAAAAATAACTATTTTTTAAAATAATAATAATAATAATCTATTATAACTAATTATATTAAAGTACTGTACTTTATATAAAAAAATAAAGAAAAATATTTTATTACAATTTGAGTGTATAAACTGAATTTTATAAATAATTGACAACATTTAGCATAATTATGACCAAAAATATTGATAGTATTGGATTTTACAACAATCAATATTAATAAATCATTAACTTATATAATTTTAGGTACAAAATAAATGCTTAATTCATAACAAAATGTATCGCTATAACAAAAACATTATAATTAATTATAATTTAATAGAAAAAAATTTTTTTTGATAAAATCAAATAACTAAAAATATAGAAACAAAATTAATGATAAACTAATGTGATTGTTAAGTTTAATATATGGATAAGCTAATCTAATAAAAACAATAATTTTATATTATCAAATTTTAAATTCTATCTAATTTAATATATTATAAATCCGCTTTTAATTAAATTATAATGTTTATTTCAAAAATAACATTTGCTATAATTCACATACCAGTACATAATGCACATATGCTGTATATAATGGTTAGAAAATAAACCGATTAATTGACCCAGTTAATTGCTAAAAACTACAAATATTTATAAATTTTTAACTACCAAAAAATAACAATGAAATTCATAACATTTTGTTTTATAATTATTACCACTTTTGGTGGTATTGTATGGACACAGAAACGACACGATAGAGACTTCTTGTACAAAGAGTTCAAAGATAAGACACAATATATGAATGATATTAAGAGTTGGAGACAACAATTGAGACAACAGTTTATTAATAATTTATTATCACTTCCGGATGACATCAAAAAGTCAATTATCGAAAGAGCAGATAAGGAACTGATTGAGAAATGGGAGCCATTGTTAGTCATGGAGTTCTTGGAGTTTAAAATTAATGGCAATCGTAATCATTATGAAGGAAAAGATTTTTATAGACGAGACAAACTCATGGATTTTATTTTGGCTGAATTGTTGACACAAAATGGTAAATATATGAATCAGATTGCAAATGGATTGTGGCTTATACTGGAAGAGAGCACCTGGACGTGGCCGGCGCACCTCAGTATGCAAAAGGCCGGCGAAGGTCTACCTGATCCCAAACAGTATGTCATTGATTTGGGTGCCGGAGAGTCATCAGCTTATATATCATGGGTTCGCCTATTACTTGGTATAAATGATAAACCCATTGAATATATTAATAACAACTTTTTGACAAAGTTTTAGTATTCACTGATTTGTTAATTACTGTACATTAGGTGAACAGTTGACCAAAATGTCGCCAATGTTTCTGAAACGCATTGACTATGAACTGGACAGACGTATTGTCTATGAGTTTCTGCACACAGACTTCAAGAAGTGGATGGGTTTTGAGGGTCAACGGGTCGGCAATTGGAACATTTGGATCAATACTAATATGTTGATGACTGGCCTGTTGTCTGTCAACGATACACTGGTGTTGGATGTCGTCAAACGGGCGGTGACCAGTGCCGACAATTGGCTCGATTGGTACGGAGAGGACGGCGGTTGCGATGAAGGTCCCAGCTATTGGTACGAAGCGGGCGGACGTTTCATACAGTTTTTGTTTTACATGTCGTCGGCCAGTAGACATCACATGGACTGGTCATCAAAACCTATAGTCAAAAGTATCGGTGATTATATCTATAAAATGCATATTGATAAAGACTATTTTGTCAACTTTGCCGACGCATCGGCCAAACAAGTGCCCGATCCGACACTGGTCTACAATTATGGACAACTGTTCAACAGTTCAATACTAAAACAGTTTGCATCTTATTTGTATGCATTGAATGGTGGCGACAAGTTTATGTTAGGCCATCAATTGCACGAGTATTTTATAAAATTGGACGCTTATCCACATCTTAAAGTCGAGTCACCGAAAGCTCCCCAACCAATAGAGTCATGGCTGCCTGATCTACAAGTTATCACATTGAGGACTCTGGAGGGTTCAGCTAAGGGACTGTTTTTGGGTGCAAAAGCCGGTAATAATGGTTAGTATTTTGTTAATAACGACATTTACAGTACATTATATATTGTATATATACTTTAATTTCTAATTAAAAAATTTTAGGTGAATTTCATAATCACAACGACGTCGGAAACTTTGTTATCTATGTAAACGGTTTGCCGGCCATTATAGACATCGGTGTCGGTGTCTATACAAAAGATTCGTTTGGAAAGCACAGGTATGAAAACTGGAACTTACAATCCCAGTGGCACAATACGCCCACTATTAATGGTGTTCAACAAAAAGATGGCCAGTCTTTTGCTTCTCGTAATGTTACTTATAGTAAAACAGCCGATGATCTACCAGTGTTTATGGCCGATATAGCCGGTGCCTATCCTACCGGAGCGCACGTCAGGAGTTGGATCCGTAAACTTGTGTTTAACAGAAAGTCAAATACCGTAACAATTGACGAAAGTTATAAACTCGATAAGTTTATCCAACCATTTAAAGTACATTTCATTACAATATTAAATATCACCCAAAATGATGGTCAGGTGTTGCTTAAGGATAAGGATGTGAGACTTGAGCTCAACTATGAACACAATTTGTTTGACGTTGTGGTGGATCAGCATAAGACTAATGATACCAAATTGCATCAAATGTGGGGCAATAGTGTCAATAGGGTTACACTGGTGTCCAAAATTGTCGATAAACTTGAAGGAAATTATTCAATAGTTTTTAAAATATAAATGAATTTATTATATCATTTATTTTGTTATCATTTGAAAAGTATTATGTGATCTATGAATAATGATTATGTTAATACTGACTATATTATTAATATTTATTTTTGTTTTATGATATTAATGTTTATTTAATGTCAATTATGTATTATATTATTTGAAGTTATAATAAAAAATACTTATATTTTTATGATACCTTATTAATTAAATTGTTAGATGCAGTATTTTCCAGTTTTAGTAACTATCGTACACTAAAAATTTGTATTATAATTATTTAGATTAAACTCTTATTAATATCATATTAAATATTATAAATTAATAATTTATAAAAGAAATTATAAGCATAAAGTATTTCATTTTGAGTGTTATTTTCTGATAAATTAATTATAATTTTTACTTTTATTTTCCCATTTATCATTAATATTGTAATAAATATATAATACAATAGTATACTGATTATTCATATTGTAAATGATTTCGCAATACAAGTGCAATAACGTTTAGTTTGTTAATTGATATATTCATTTAATAGTTAGCTAATTAATATATATTTTTACATTTTTTTAATAAATCATTAACAACATGTAACAATATGTATTTAAAAAATTAATTAAATATAATTTAATAAAATAAATATATTAATAATTAAATACATAAATATTACATTATAATTTGTTATATGATATAGGTAATTTTTTTTTATATTTCACATTTATTTCAGTATACGATATCATATAACTAAAAAAATAACTACCTTGGCTACCAGTCCTAATCTAGATTATTATCACACAGGTATTTCTAATGGCATGACTAATAATACATACTAAACAACAGGTTGTACAGTATTAATAAAATAATTATTATATTATTATATTGTTAACAATACATTAATAAAACAATGTCATACTAGTATAAATTTTTTGTTGTATTGTTTAATATGTTAATTGTTTGTATAAATTATTGATACTGTTTAATGAAATAGCAAATAAAATAGTATACAACATAATAAAAATGAATTTTGTTTATTTAACATTTTTATTGTTATATTCTGTTATTAATATAATCGGTAATTATTAACCAATTTTTAAAATATATATATATTAATAATAAAAATATTTAATAATGTAATGCTATATTTAATATATTTATTACATTTTTTTAGAGGCTATCAAATATAACACGGATTCACATAAAAACAGTTTGTTTTTCATATACAACGAGACGGCCGATTGGCAGTCAGCGGATAGAGTGTGTCGACAGCAAAACCTACAGCTGGTTGTCGTCCAAGACGTCAATTATGATGTCAAAGGGTTTGCCATACGATTGGATTCACTGTCATCATCGGTAGATAACAGCAACAGTCAAAGTAAGAGCACATACTATGCAATACCTCAGTCAGAGTCAGCCAAAGATCATCAGTCGTCAATGTCCTACAAAAACTCAATCCACAAACGAGATATAACTTATGCTAAATATGAGATCAGGTGTATAGTCGTTGATAAGGATTTACAAAATGTTTGGATACAGAAGCCATGTGTGGAAAGTGCCGTTGGATTTATGTGTTCAAAATCTACAATTCATCTGAAAATTGTTAAATCCCGTTACCTGTTAAGCCTACAGGACAACAATGATATTGATAGTGATCCTGATTATAATGATTATGTATGTCCAACATATCAATACAAGTCAAGTGATAGAAAATCTAGTCTAAAATGGTTGGACATTGACAAGGGATTGCAGTTTTGCTATCTGTTCAGCGCTGACATAGGAAACAGTCTATTGAAGACTACATGGGCTGAGGCATCCTTAAAATGTAAGTCAATCAACGGAAATCTCGTTGCAATTCATGAATCGACACATAAGAGTCTATTGAAAGTCATCGATAAATTACGGGACAGTACTTGGATTGGTTTACGGGAAACACAAACTGGTATTTTATTAAATATTTATAAATACTATAAAACTTTTATACTAATATCTATTATAAATTTAGGACAATTTGAATGGGAAGATAACTCAGCTTTAGATTTCACTCAATGGGATACCGGAGCCAATGGAGACTATAAGAAATGTGTGTCAATGCGAACCACTGATCTCAAATGGACAGCCCATCCATGTTTTGATATCACTTATATGTATGATTTTATTTGTCAAATCAAAAAAGTATTGCCGGGCAATGTGTCGACTGTCGAGCCATCCCACGAACCATTGGAATCACCGCAAGTGGTCACCGAAATGCCCGCTATAGTCATGTATTTTATGATAATAATGGGCGTTGTTTTGGTGGTCAGTGTCGGCGCTAACATTGTTTTTGTCTCCAAACGTGTAAAACTGATTAATATGATAAACAGTAATAACAATAGACCGACAAATTCTGGCCATAATATTGAGTGTACCACTGAAAGCACTGTTAGTAAAAGCACAGGTAGTAGTAGTAGTAGTAATGGCAGTGTCTGTGATAATAACAATAAGAATATTAGTGAATCAATGGAAAGGAGACGCCGTTTCAATGAAATGCTTCATTCAAATGATCCAAATGTTGTGTTTAGTAATATTAAACTTAAAAATTAATTAATTAACTAATAGTCATTCAAAATTCATTATTTCTAATTAATAATTAAATGTAAATATATTTATATATAGTTAAATTTTCATAATTTTTTATTGTTATCAAAAAAATAAATATTTTCATGTAATATAATTATTAAAATAATAAATATATAAAATAATTATATATAATGATAAATATTATAAAAATATTATAATATAATCATTGTTTCTGATATAATCATTGTTTCTGAAAAAATTACTGGTAATTTTAATTAAATGGTTATCACAAATTATTATTTAATTCTTTTATTGTAAGTAAAAAGCATTTAGTTTTACTATTAAAAAACTTATAGATAATAATAATATAACAAATTGTTTGTATTTGTATTAATAAGTTTGATTACCGATAAGTATACAGTAAAAAAAATAATACTATTAATAATTTGATTAAATAAATAAATTATAGAGTTAGTATTATATATTATAGATAATTTATCATAATATTCTATAAATTACTTTAGTAATGTTATTATACTAATAATTAGATATAAATAATGGCATTTTTATAATATCAATAAATTGTCTTATAAAGTTTTTTTAAAAAAAATAATTTAGTATAAAAAATAAAAATCAATTTTTTTATTTACTATAATTTATTTTTATTAGAAATATTGTTTATTACTTTAGGGGGAAAAATAAAATAATTGTTATACTGCGGGCGGAAACTTGAGATTTTCGATCTCTTTGCCGATGATATTCTTCAAGATATTGCCCAATATTTGTCGGGCCTGTGGATTGAAAATGGCCACAAATGCGTCGGCCATAACATTGACGAGTGGATCAAGTATTTTAAGACCCTTTACGTGAAACTTGACGTGTTTGAGCTCATCCACCTGGAACTCCTTGAGCTGAAGTTTGCCCTTTTCATTCATACCCACTGTTATCTTGACGTCAATGTTGCCGATGTCGGCGTCCAAATTGATGGTCGAGTGTATCGGTTTTAGACCTTTAATGCTAAAAAATTGGGGAATTATTAAAAACATTTTTATTATTATTATTATCACTAAAGTTAAACTAGCTGTAGATAAAATCTTATAAACTATAATAATCTAGATTTCATATTTTTCATCTAATTTATTGTTGAACTAAAAATCATACCCGATTTGTGTGACAGCATGAAAGTGTGCGTGAATATTGTTGTCGCCAAACTGCAAGTGCCCAATAAAGTGTCCCTTATCGGTACCGATATCACAATCACCCGACCGTTTGATGGCACCCAAACCCTTAATTGTTCCCTCAGTTAGGTTTGCCTCACCTATTATTATTTGTTTGAGCAGGTATTTTTAATAAGTATTCAAAGACATTATATTTTTTTTATTAAAAATCTAACCGTGCCATGTGCTCAGGGCGATTTTCTTAGTAAAATTGAAGTTCATGTTTGGCACATGAAATGGATCCAATGTGGTGTTGTATTTGGCTTTTACTACAGTCAACAATTGGTCAACCATTTGATTGGCATTTCCAGGAGTGTTGACTATAGTTTTATGGAAAACAAAAATTATAAATAATAAAAACTATTCATATGTTAATAAAATACAAACATTCATATTCATGGCAATCGACCATCAATAGTGTGGTCACCATTAAGATAATAAACGATTTAACCATCATTTTTGATAATTATATTTTCTATAGTAAAACATGTAAATATATTTATTAAAAATATTATTATTATTTGTTAACTATACCTACAATTAATATAAACTAATAAATTAATTGCCAACTAATTAATAAAACTTTAAAATAAATGATATTCTTATTTATAGATTTTTTAAAGTATATTATTTTAATTTTAATTTTTTTAAAAAGTTTATATGTATAATCGTTAATGTGATACATTATGTGACACATGTTTATCAGTAATATTTGTCACAAATAATTAATTTTATTAATTTGTTAATTTTAAAAATTAAGTGATATTTTTAGTAAGTTTTTTAAATTATTTAAAATTAATATTATTAAAAATGTTTGATCAATTATAATATTAAAAATAGCTAATATTATTTTAAAAATGCAAATTTCTATTAAATAGATTTAATCATTTTTTAAAAGTTTCATATTTAAAAATAATTTTTTAAAATTATACAAAATTTATCAAGTTTTAGGAAAAAATTATCAATGTTATTATTTTCAATTTATTACTAATTATATAAAGTATCTATGTGAAATATATCCTGGTTCAAATGTGGATAGACAGATAAAGTAACAATTTTTATGATAACATTTAATCTATTTAATTATTATAAATAATATATTTTTTATTTAGTTTTAATATTGTACTAATATTGAAATTGTTTAATACACTCTAATTAATATGCTATTAAAGTTAAAATATAATTTTATAAAGTTGATAAAAATAAAATATATGACTTATTACAGTAGCACTTATTATAGTGTAGTTATTTTACATATACCATATAATATATGGCATATATCATATTGTTTCACTGTATTATTATATTGTTGATTAATCAATTTATTAAATTATGGTATATATTAGTTAGTAATTATCAAATAAAAACTATGTTAATAATAATTAGCATATTATAATCGTTAGATATTCTAATTAAAATTTCTAAAAACATTTATTAAGTTTAATATAGAAAAAAATGTTAATCATAATGTATTTTAATTATATTTGAATGATTAATTAAGTAAATCATACCTAACTATAAATATAATTATTACTGTATTGTGGTATTAATATTACATTTGTTGAAATTTTACACAACAATACTACTGTATAGTATTTTTATGACAAATCAATACATTAATATACTTATAATTATAATTTGATAATAATAATTATTATTTTATATATGAATATAAATTTAAGTTATACTATAATATTAGTTTAAAATATGCAATCGTGAAGCACAGGTAAAGCAAAATATTAAATTAATGGTCAGTACTATCACTAAACATTTTAGTCAAAAGATTAGCCTATAAATAGGTCATCAAGTATTTGATGGGACAATAAATATAGTGAAAGTATATATAAATTAAATATTTATTTATTTCAAATATTTAATCAAATTCACAATATATTGAATTTCTATCTAATTTTCTTAATTGAAATATTGTTCAGTTTTAGTGAAATATTTCTAAATTTCAAATATTTAGTAAAAATAATCTATTTATACCTAAAATAATATTTATTTGAAAGCAAAATGTGAATAAAATATTTGAGTTTAATATTATATTATAATTTTACCAACTATTATAAACAATTTATTAATAAAACTTAATAGTAATAATAAATATACAAATACAATAACTAAATAATAAGTTAAAATACAAAAAAATAAATAAATAATTATTAAAGTAACACAAAATATCTCACAAAATCATCAGAAAAAAACTAGTTGTAATAAACTTTTAATTAAATTAACTTAACATAAAATGTAAAATAAAGGTAAAATAAAATAATTGAAATTAAAAGCATTAACAAAAAAAWRTATTGAAAAACTTAAAGTTATTGTATTTCATAGTTTGAAATTTAAACCAACAAAAAAATTATTGAATACATTACTCAATAGTAATAGCAATAATTTGCACGTAATTGATGTCCAATTGTAACATCAAAACACTGTATTTATTATTAATATAATAATAGCAAACATATCACACGTGTTGTGTGTTTCGGTTATTCAACAAAAAAATATATATAAATTATAAACAAAATTTATTTGACTTTTCGGTCGCCGATTGCCGACAATGTCCAGCAGTCAACCGTTACGGCAACGACCGAATGTCCTTATATCGGGCACTCCGGGCACTGGCAAGACGTTGCTGTGTCAGGCAATTAGCGCACGACTGGCCGACATGAAGATCATCGATGTCTCCGAGTTTTGCAAAACTAACGACTGTATTGACACACACGACGACCAATTGGACACCGATGTCATCGACGACCAGCTACTGGAGGAAAAGATTTCACCGGTCTTAGAGTCGGGCGGTTATCTTATTGACTATCACTCGCCCGATCTGTTTCCCACTGAACTCATCGACGGTAAGTTAGGATTCACCGATTGATTGATTGATTRATTACCGATTGATTGATTGATTGTCTGTTTGATTGTCAAACAGTGGTATACATATTGCGGTGCAATAATACCCAACTCTACGATCGACTTCAGGAGCGACAGTATAGCGAAGCAAAGATCACTGGAAATATTGAGTGCGAAATCTTCGAGACTATTGTCGAGGAAGCGGTCGATTGGTTTGGCGAAGATTGTGTCCATCAGTTGGTCAATGAGACTGAAGAACAATTGGCGACCAATTGTGACACTGTTTGTCAATGGATTGAAAATTATCGACAAAAGTGATATAATTTTTTAGACTTTTATTTTATTTGAGTTATCAATCATATTGTCAATTATGTGGTAATTATTGCTTATTTTTTGTAACATTTATTACATATTTTATCAAATTATTTATATAAAATTGTTAAACAATAATATTATTGAAATTAATATTTTTTACATAAATTTTTATATTCATTTTATTGCGCTATTGAATCATAATTTAGTTTACATAACAGTAATTATTTTTTTWAAAAAATAATTTTGTAAATTAAATAAAATATTAAAATAATTAACTAAACAAACGWTTGTTTTATTATTTTTGTTTTGATTTTTATTTGCTATTACTGTAATAGTTTTATTTTTTATAACTATTGTTTAACTTCTATAAAACTGGTTATCATATTTGCTAAGCATATCAATCAATTTGGACACTTGATTGCCAATAAATTGACTAAAATTAGACGGACCACCATTACTCCAATTGCCGTCTAAAATGAAATATATTTTTATATAACAAATTATATATCAATATATATATAATATATATACAGAACAATTTTTTTTAAATACAACATATTTTGTATATTTTATTAGATTATTGAATATAAAATAGAAAATAATTTCTAACAATACCTGAGAAGAATCCCTGAATAAATTTCATCCAATCTTTGAATCTTTGAATTCGTGGACTACTTCTGGGACTATCGTTTGGAGATGTGGTCACAATCACGACTTCAGTGTCGTCTGACTGATAATTTTGACTTATTTTCATACCATTAGCTGTAGTAGTAATGGTCAACACAATGACCATAATTGTGGCGATAATTAGTAGTAATTTGATATTCATATTTAGTTTTATTATTAAATTAAATACTAAATATTAAGAAATTAGTTTTATTTAAATATTTTGTATGAATTTATTAACTTTTTTTGAAAAACATTGAACAAAATTTAAAAAGATTATTAAAATATTCATCGTTTAGTACATTAGTTTTTGAATTGTTTGAGACAATAAAATGATGCAAATATTGCACCAAATCTTTTATTATAAATATAATGTTTAAAACCTATTAATCAAATGACAATTACCGGTAATGTTTGTTTCAATTGAAATAATAATAATAATAGCAATAATTATTATTATGTACTATTCATGTTTTCAAAACATTTTCCTAGAAATATTTAAATGTTTATTGATTTTAATTTATTGTAATCAATAATTAATTGCCGATTGTTTGCTGGATTAAATTTTTTGAAACGTTAAATAATATGCTTTCATTTTCATTCAAAGTTTAACTTTGCTTTAATGTAAATTTTATTTAGTTTACGATACATATCATGGCTTTAAGTAAATTAATATTACTAATAATTATTATGAAATGTATTAGGTTTAACCTATCGCTTGATCATCCGATTTGATTACCAATTGATTGATTGATTATTTGATTGATTGTCAAACCGACTGGAGAACAATTGGTGACCAATTGTGACACTTTTTGTCTGTAGATTGAAAATTATCACAAAAGTGATCTAATTTTAGACTTTTATTTTATTAGCGTTATCATAATATTATTATTATGTGGTTATTATTATTTACCTAATTTTTTGTAACATTTATTACATTATTTTATCAATTTATTTATTAAAAAATTGTTATACAAAAATATTATTGAAATTAATATGTTTTACATAAATTTATTACAGTATATTGTGGTATTGAATCAAATTTTTTTTAAATAACTACCGTAATTATCAAAAAATAATTTTTATATAAAAAATTTTAATTAATTTAAATATAAAAATATACTAACTATACAAACAATTGTTTTAGTATTTTTGTTTTTAATTTTTTTATATAATTGTTTAACTTCTATTAAACCAATTATCATCTCTGGTAAGCATTTCAATCAATTTGGACACTTGATTGCCAATAAATTGGCCAAAATTAGACGGACCACCATTATCCCAATTGCCATCTAAACATATAATATATTTTTTAGTAACTTTATTTAAAAAATTAATATAAAAGAGAAAATAATTTTTATAACAATACCTGAGAAAAATCCCTGAATAAATTTCATCCAATCTTTGAATATACTTCGCGGACCACCACTGGGACTATCATTTGGAGATCCGGTCACAAACTCGACTTCACTGTCGTCTGACTGATAATATTGATTTATTTTCATACCATTAGCTGTAGTAGTAATCGTCAACACAATGACCATAATTGTGGCCATAATTATTAAGTTGATATTCATATTTAGTTTTTTTAATTAAATTAAATACAAAATATTAAGAAATTTTCTTTATTATAATTTTTTGTATTAATTTATGAAAAACAGTGAACAATATGTTGTGAGACTATAAAAGTGTTCATCGTTTAGTACATTAGTTTTGAATAGTTTGAGACAATAAAATTATGCAAATAATTACATCAAATCTTTTATTATAAGTAAAAAAAGTTTAAACCTATTAATCAAATTACAATTAATGTTTGTTTCATTTGTATTAATAAATAATTATTATAATGTACTAAACATTTTTTTATTTGCAAAATATTTTCCTAGAAAATATATAAATGTTTATTGAACTAAATTTATTTTAACCAATAATTAATTACCGATTGTTTGCTGGATGAAATTTTCTGATGCGTTCAAAAAAAATATTATCATTTTAACAATTTTACTAATAAAAAAAAAAGTTTAACCTTGCTTTGATGTAAATAACTTATATATACATGAATATTAGATAATTGTAAAATCAGTCAACAATAATCAATAGAAAAAATCAATTATTATTGCGTGATTCTGTTTAATTATGGGCTAAATAAGTAAATTTTTTATGAAATAATATTTGCAGTTAAAATTTGAAATATAAATTTAATAAAAATTAATATTCAAGTTTTAACTAAACTAAATTATATATAAAATTACTATTAACATTTTAATTTGATTGCTACAATTTTTAAATTTTATATTAATACAATTAAAAATAAATTAATGTCTAAAATCGATGGTCATTTTAATTATTTGATTTTTATAAATAGTTACTAGATCAATTATTTATAATATTTATTGTAACTTATATTATATAATTATAATGAAATAAATTAATTTTTATTAATTTATTGTTGTTTTTTAAGAAATTTTTGTTAACCAATATTACTTATAAAATTTCTTATGAAATATTTGAAAACATATTCATTGACAACAAATTAAAATTACTGATAAATATTACAATTAAGTGAATTTTATTATAAATTAATACATTTTTTTGCTTTTAATATCTAATCATTTAGTGTGACTCTGATGGAGGACTAGAGTTTCAATACATCAATACAGTAGGTCAGTGCTAACTACTACCGTACATACTGTATATCACAAATTAAAGTAAAACTCAAATCATTATTTATTAATAAAGTTGTAAATATTAATTAATTACATAAAGATTTATAAAAATCTTGTAAAATATAATTATTATGTTTTTTTAATATATATATATATTTTTAATATATTGCTGTTTTACATAATTTACATATATTCATTTTGAGTAGATTTGCCATACAATGGATTTATATGATTAGTAGTGGCGGCAGTAAATAATGGATTCATTTCATTGTTAATATTTCTCTATAAAAACAAATATTAAAATTGAAAAAAATATAATAATAATAACTAAATTCAAAAATAATATTTTAATATATATATATATATAAATAAATAAAAATGTTAACAAAAAAATTATTTACAAGATTTTTAAGATTAAGTTCAGCTTCTGTACGAAATCTTTCGTACTCTTTCTTGTCTCTGTACCAAATGATCAGTCGACCCACGAGTACAACCAATAAGCCAATGATAACAATAGCAGATGCAACCGAACCCACTACTATACCGACATTTACCTGTGCCGGACACTCCCTGTCCTGTTTGACTCTAATAAATAAATTTTTGTCTTTATATTCGTAGTCAAAATTGATGGCACAGTCGTCTCTATCAAAGAAAACACAGCGTCTGGTGCTCTCTCTGGTCTCTAAAGTAGTTTAACGTTAATCACAGCACTGTTAGACTAATTTATATATGAAATACAATATTAATATATACCTAATTCATTGACAGTTTTGTAATCATATTTGCATTTGTCGCGGCACTCGACCGGTGAATACGTTCCCGACTCAAACACCCGACACTCGACACAGGGCTGCAGTTCATTACAGCGACCCTCACAGCTCTGTTATACGTATCATAGATATAGAAAAAATTATATTAAAACCAAAAAAAAAATCAAAGTTATTTATGTTTGACTAAACTGCACACTCTTCACAATATTTTCCATAATAACCCTCATTGCAGATACAGTTGCCGCACCTACAGTCACCATTACCCGAGCATACATTGCCATCATTTTCACTGTAAATGCAAGTGTTGTTCAAAGTACTACAATCACATAACGGTCCCGACCAACCGGGCTATCAAATTGAATGAATTATTAATTAGGATATCTCAACATCAATATAATCCAAAACATACCACACAATGGCAAATGCCATCACAACAGTAGCCCCTTTCGTGTCCGCCACAAGTCAATCCTTTATAGCCTCTATTACACGAAAAGTTGTCGCATTGGCACCACTTTCCCGATACCAGTTCTTCTCTATTGGCTCTGGGATGACACTGACACTCACCACAAACACAATCGCCTCGATTTGAACACAAAACATTAGAGTCGGAACTCCTAACAAAAATTATGTGAATAAATAAATATGAGAAATGAGTTAATAATAGTCAAGATTGTGTTAAAACCTAACCGTCGGCACTGAGATATGAGTTCCTCATTAATGGTGTGGTCACTGTCACACTCGCACTTTTTGCCGAACCGATTCTGATTGCATTCGCATATACCGCACGCATAGGTGCCTTCACTGGAACATTCGGTGGCGTTGGGCTGGGCTACAGGTGCCAGTTCACATTCGCACTCACACATAACATGTAACTCAACCACTGTATACTCGTTGATACCGATAGGTGTTATGGCAAAGGTTTCGCGTCCACCGACGGGACATTTGGTCACTTTAAGCTCGACATCAAATTCTACCGACTGACCGGACTGAATGTTATTGCAAACGTTTGTCTCACTTTTATGAGTTYCCAAACACGACGACATATATCTGATTTCTATTGCATCGGACGAGTTGTCCCGAAGTTCAATCCGTGATGAGATATGTTTAAAGTTGTCTCTAATGATGTCTACAATGTTTGACGAGTCGTCTCTTAATAGGCCGGTAGTCGAGCCGGGGATGTGTTCACTCAACTGCTTATATACGTGAATACTTTCCTCCGGTACGGCAAATATGATGTACATCTTTGAGTCGGTCACCGCTTTGTTGATTTGTTCCAGTGATGGATAGTCTTGTTCAAGGGATTCACTGTACATTCCGTCCCTATTTAGATGACATTTACCTATATATTAGATAACAAAATCAACACTTTAACTAACTGTTCACATCTATTACTACTTATCATTATCACTACTACTACTACTACTACTACACGCATACCATCGTTAGGCTTAACAATTCCTCCCAGTTTTCCGTCGCCCGCGTAATGAAATATAGAGTCCGTGGCGAACACAATGATCTTACGGGACAAGTCGTGCCAATTGATGTGTCGCTGACATCGTATAACTTGCATAATGGCATCGAAGCCGCCCTCGGCGTTGTCCAGATTGCCGGACAGTGGCGTCGATTCGACTTCCCGTACAAACTGCGAAATGTTGGCATTGAGTGGCAAATGATTTTTGAAACCATAGGGAGGCGCACATTGTTGCTTATCGGTACACGGATTGGCCAACTTTGAGTCAACCATACTGGCATAGGGCATGGCCACTTTGTCGATGAACGAACCGAACCCGAGTCTAAATGATTTGGTAATGTTGTTCATGTGTTGGGCTATAATATGTTGAAATTTAGAAGAAAAAAACAATATTAGCATAAAAACAGTTAGATTTTGTATTTATTTGTCTCCTAATCAAACCTACAGAGACTATCGGCCAGTTCACCCAATTTTTCTTTATGCTCTTTCATCGAGTATGTCAAGTCCATCAAATAATATAAATCAACCAGGTAGTCAAGTGACTGTTCAAATTTTATGTGGAAGCGCTGTAAGTCATCTATAAATTTGCAACAAATAGTAAACAATTAAAAAATCAATACAAAGCAAAACAATAATTTTTTTTAAATAATTTTTTTTAAATAAAATATAATATCTATTATATATATATATATATACTTTGTCTGATATGTAGATGAATTTTTTGTGGATGTAATTGAATGGGCGATTCAGTTGGGTTTATTTGTTCATTATCCTGATAACAGTTACCAAATATATATAATTAAATTATTATTATAAATACTATTAATATTAATTAATAACTAGAATAATAATAATAATATCAATAATCACTTGAATGATTTCTACAGATGACGATGGATTGTTTATATCMTTACGGGGACAGCCGTTGGCCAGTAAACTGTCCTCCGAGTCGCACCGGGACATACCAACATTGGGTGTAACAGTATTGCACCAGGCACATTGGGGATGTGAAATACATGAACTACAGTTTAATGATAAAGTGCAAATAATACTGTCCGATGATTGACCCRCTGGTGGTGTATCTTTAAAAAARATCAATTATTTGTTTTAMTTATTATTTTTATGCCATAATTATTGTTAMATATTTTATTGTAACAATTATAATAATTAWTTAAAAATTAATAATATATTATAAAATGAAAATTATGTATGTACTTGATCATTTTGTAACTTATGTATACAATTATATTGTTATTATTTATTTATTTATTCTGCAATCATAAAATAAGTAATGATTTTAAAAAGTTTAAAARTTGATAATTTTTATTCATAAAAAGTTGAATTACTTGTACATAAAATTATAATAATATTGTAAAAATATTTTAGTGTAGTAGACATACTGTATATGATATTAATCTATTGAAGTGTAAATTTTTCAAAAACTAATAAAAATATGTAAAAACATATAATGAATAGAAAATCATTATTTTTAGCATTCATACTAATAATTCACAATAATTATAATAATAAGTAAATAAACACTTTATGCATAATTTAGCATGCTCAACTTAGCATTACAACATATCAATGACAATAAAAAAGTCTATTTAATAACTGAGAAACATACATATGTATAATAATTTATTGTTTTATTAGACATAACTTGTACACTACAATAAAAAAATAGTAAAATATTATTTTTAAATATTTTAATTAGTTTGCTAATGAATTAAAAATAATTTACAAAAAAAATATTTATCAAAATAAAATATTTTACTATTAATATAACAGAAAATCTTATTTAGTTTACGATACATACCTTGAGCTTTAAGTAACTTAATATTACTAATAATTATAAGGAAATGAATTGCTATCAGTAATAATTGCAAATTATTTTGTAATTTATTATTATTCATAATTATTAAAATATATGGTTTAATAAATGTATTTTGATATAACAAATGAATTTATTTTCAAAGTCAATAACCATATATTGTAGAAAAATTTACTAAATTTTTAGACATTAATATATTATTATTAAATATATCTCATTCAACACATATGAACACATGAGATGATGGTATGGTTTGTTACTTAAGGATAACTTTAATATTGAGCAAACATTTTATGAAATGTTTTTTTTAAATTCAAACACATATTATTTTTTTCAAAATCTTTTAAACAATTATTTAGACTAAAAGATTTTTCATTTTGTTGTTKTTGAACTTCAAATATAATTATTCTACCTGGTATATTTTTCAAAATAAAAATTTAATAATTATAACTTATTACTTATAACAAAATATTAGTACAGTAGAAATGTTTTTCTTTGAAAATTATATTACTTTATGTTATCATTATATATATTATCATATAAATATATACTGTTGAAATCACACACCCATTGATATTAATGAACATTAATTAAACTTTTWTWTATATATATACTGTATATATTATTTAATAAGTTATTTACAAGTTTTAGTTTTCAAAGCTTATAATTATTAATAAAATATTAATTTTCATTCAAACACTTTCATTAAACTCAGACATTAACGCACAAACAAACCGTGATTTCAAATCATAAAAATAAAAAGTATTATTATTATTATTATTATTATATGATAATAATAGCAAAAGCAATGTACAATATAGTCATAATAATCATAGGTATCATAACAACCACTGATTATGTCACCTATAATAATGATAATGTTTTTCAAAACAGTTTATTTAGACAACACTTCAAAATAGTCTTCAAAAATCAATGTCCTATGTCTTTGAGTTAACAGTGCTCTCTATGCATAACATATGCCAAATACATAGACAATACATGTGTTAATGTTTTTATTTTGAAAAATTTAATTATTTGTTAAATAAATTATTTTTTGTCTATTTTAATAAATAAATAGTAATATAAATTTGCATATTATATTTTTTTATTAGAAATTATAAATAAATTAAATAAATAATAAGTTTAAAATTATAAAAAATTATAAAAATATTATAATATATTAATTATATAAAATATATCTTTTAGAAATTCTAAATATAAATATCAATTATGATATTTCCAATTAACAATAAACTGCTAATAATATATTATTAAAATATTAATGTTTATACTTCTTATTATTAATTGATTATTTATTTTTATAAAAAAAGATATCAATAATGAGTGGGAGATGACGAGTCATTGAAATAACTAAGCGATGAATTACTGTCACCACAACCGGTGATTACATTAAATTCATTGAGTTGTGGGAACAGTTGGTCACACATATTGTCAGCGATATTATCCAATTGTTCAGCAATTAAGTAGTCGTCACAACAGGTTATTGTAGATTCAGATGTTTCATAAATGTACGGTTGATATGACTATAGAATTAAATTAGGATTATATTTAAAACAAATATAAATATTTTTACGAAACAAAATAATGAATAAACTATATGTTAATTATTTGAAACATACGATTGACTTTTGATTAGTTATACAAAAAGTGCAAATAGTTTTTGCGGTCAACGAACCGATTCTTGCATTTCGCACACATATGTTATCACTTTCTTCACCATTAAATCTAAAATATTTCATATATATTATAAATTTATTTTTTTATAAAATTATAATTAATATTCAAACTTTTAATCAATTATATGATACTTACATAGCATTTCTTACACTATTCAAGTGTTTAATATATGAAACGGCCAGTCGTAATGTTTCAATTTTGGACAGTTTCCTATTGGGAGGATCGGTAGGTATGAGACTCCTTAATACAATGAATGCACTGTTGACCGACTCAGTCCTATCCCGTTCCCGAGCGTTGGCCACTTGTCTCTGGATTTGTGTATCAAATCTGCGCTCACCTTTCGATCGGAAAACAGTCGATAATTGTTTGTTTCCATTCATTATTTAAATAATAATTTTATTWAAAATTATTTTTAATAACACTACAAATTATTGATTTATAACTAAATGCTAAAATAAGCTATTGTCACAACATGTACAGTATATTATAAATTATTTTATTGTCAAATAAATACAATATGACAAAAAAATATMTTTTAATTTCTATATTGATATTTAATCTTTCAAATAATTAGCATTAAAAAACTGAAAATTTATTAAATATAATATTAATTTTATATTTGGTGTTTACTACTAGTCTATATAGTCTAAATCTAATCTACTGGTGGTTATATTGAGGTTTAAAAAATATTTAAAAATATTTTTAATTTGTTTGGTGTGTGTGTGTATGTGTGGGCGTCGGGTGTGAAAAACACACCACAAATATAAAGTTATAAATATTTTTCGTAATAAAAGTTTTTGCACTCAGATTTTATTTTTTTTATTTTTTGGATAAACAAATCTATTGAATAAATTGATTGCATTTTAGATGTCAATAAATCATTTTTAGTTCACAGTTTTCACTGCAAAATAAGTTTAGGTTTTCAAAAATAGGTTTTTCAGGAAAAAAATAAAATAGATAAATTGAATACATATTATATTATATAAATAATATTTGAAACATATTGTATATACATTTTGTATATTCTGGTTCACAGAATCGCTGTTTTTTGTGAAAGTTTTATAATATTATAAAATATTTTTTAAATAAATACAGTTTATGACTTAAAATAATAAGACTAATAGTAATACAGTAGTAATATTAATATTGATTTTTTCTTTAAATAAATTATATGCAAATTTATATCATAGAGTATTTAAAATATATAAGTTATAATAAAATAATGTTATATAAGTAATAATAATAATAATACTAATGCTATAATTTTTGAAGCTCACTCTAAAACTATAAATATGTTTATATGAAGTGCTTTTATTGTATGTACAGTATTTACATAAATTTATATATATATATATATATATATAAGACTAATGTATATTTATAAAAATCAATAGAAATTTCATGTAAACTATCATTTTCTCATAGAATTTATTTAGTATATTCATGTTATAGTAATAATCATGATATCATCATTAGCCAAAAAGTTATATATTTTCTTATAGTTTAACTATTTTTATAGGAATACAAGTGTGTGTGTGTTTTGTGACCCATTTTATATGTGTGTTTTGAATTGTAAATTTTTAATATATTTATTTATTATATTTTGAATTATTAAATTTTAATAAATTCTAGTAACTTTAATTTAATTTTTGATTAACAATGCATTACATATATATATTTCTATAATCAAGTTTTATTAGTTTTGGTATTAATAGTACAAAACTAATAACAAATTATTTGTGATTATATTGTGTGTCTGTGTTTGTGTGTTAAATCAGATTATAAACATCAATATGAGTGAAGACACACCACTTTTATCGGACAACGTGTCGGATATTGTGACCGTCGAGAATACGACACTTGTGGACAACTCGACGCTCGCGTGGGCTCACGAATGGTTAGGTTATCTGGCGTTAGGTATGTTCTCAATGGTACTCTTTATACCGACGCTCGGCATCATTGGCCTAATGCTGTGGGAATACTTCTCAGACGAAGCCGAGAGGAAAGCCGAACGACAGAAAGAGATCGAAAAAGTGGTCAGTATTTTAGGAAACTATATATATATATATATATATATATATATATATATATTTAATATTAAAAAAATATGTAACAAATGTTGTGTTCAAAGATTAAAGAAAGATATTTGGGTATAAAAGAAGAGAAGAATGAAGAGGAAGACAGCGATGAAGATCTCGACGGTTTGGACGGCTTTGATGGCGAAGACTTTGATGATAATGACGACAACGATGACGATATCAATTTGGATGAAGAGGCCGAGACATTACTACATAAACGCAAACCTAAGTTTACTAAACCGGAAGATTTTGACACTATTTAGTCAATTAAATAATGCAAATAATTTTCAATTATTATTATTATTTTCTATAAAGTTTATATCATCGTTTAATTTAAGTATACCTTATAATTTTTACTTATAATAATAATAATAATAATTTATAAACAACTAATTTATATAATATTACTTATAATATTATTATTATTATTATCATAATAACAATATTATAATCCTAATTATATTTATCTATTTTTATTTATTTTTCGTATTAAATGTGATTTTCAAATATTATTTTTTGATAAACCATCACTATATTATATTATATAAATAAACAAAAAATGATAAACTATCATTGATAGTGTATTCATAAAGCAATAATACTTTTTTAAAAATTAATAATACTATAGTAAAATATAATAAGTACAGTATTATTAATTTATTATAAAATAACAGCTAATTTTATTATATAAATTTCATGCATTTGTTTATGTCATAACATATAATTAAATTAATATTCACTCAAAATCAATATTTATTGTTTTTATATATTATTATAATTATTTATTAAATCATTTGATATTTCATTATTAACTATTTCTACATAAATATATTTATTGAAAAATGTTTGTATAGTTAAATATATTACACAGATAAATTTTTAATAAAAAGACTACAATATTATATAATTTACAAATTAATTAATAATTAATTACCTGAAATAAATACTCAATAATATTGTATAAATTGTTAATTATTGAATTACAATTGTTATTTAATATATATATATATTYATAAAAATACTCTATTTGTGATTTTGATATTGTCAATTATGTTTAAAAACTATTATTATATAATATTACAATATTATAAGACACTTTTATGTATATAATCTAATACACAAAACTAAGTATTTATAAAATAAATTTATATGAATGGCAAACATATATATATACAGTATATACACAATATTTATGCCGACTATTGTATTGTTATGTTAAACTCAAACATAACAACTATCACTTAGAAAACATATTTAAGATAACAAATTTTATCACAAATTGTTTGCGTTATTAATATTTATATTATTGCAAACAAATTGTGGTAATACTTAATAAATTAATAAAATAAAAATGTGCCTAAAATACACAAAAACATAAACGGCATTAAACAGTGCTAATTAACAAATAAATTGTAATTAAAGTACTTTTAATCAACAAAAAAAACACTTTTTATGTATAATAAAGAGCATTAATGTTAAAGAATGAAATATTTTAGTATTAGTTTTATTGTTAATTTGTTAATATTTATGTTATATATAAATAATGTTTATTGTTACGATAGTTATCTGGATGACATACAGACTGGTATTAAATTAGTCAAACATATAACTGTACCCAAATTGGATGATAATATCAGATATAGTTGTGTSACTAAATTTGACTGTCCATATGTGGAGAAAGAATATCGTATAAAATGTGAACAATTAGAGGACATTACTTGGTTTATACCACGTAATTACACCGAATACGAGCTCATGTATGTCAATGGTTATGATGACAATAATATTGATGATACCGGTGCCAAACGTATTGTTTATAACACAATTGAACGATTTTACTTAAAAGATAAACGATATTATATTATCAAAAGTGATTTACTTATAATCAACTTCGGTATTATACATAACGGTGTCTATTATTGCAGTCATGACCGATACAAAAGTAGAGAATCATTTGCCTTAAAGACTATCGGTATATATTATATAKATATATATATATATATATATATATATATATATATATATATAAAATTTTATCCAGTTCATTTAATATTAATTAAACTAGTTTTCATTATGTGTTTAATATGAGTTTTTTAAATCTATTTTTGTTGTTGAATACTATAATAAAATTAGTAAATTGTTATTTTTTTAATTTAAAAACTATCTAGGTCATATGGTTGATGGCAAGTGCAGATATGATGATCACTGCCAAAGTAACATATGTCATAATAAAAAGTGTAAATGCAATAAGGGTCAGGTATACATATCGGACAGTGATCAGTGTGTAAATTGTAAGTTATTATACAATCAAAATGTGTGTTTTTTAATAATAATTTTTTTGTCAAAGCTATTAAATTTGACGATCAGTGTCAATATGATGCTCAGTGCTCGCAAATATTGGGCAAAGGTAGGGCCAAATGTGTAGACAGTCGGTGCAAATGTCGAGAGTCGTATACAATGGCAAATATCACTATGAATAGGAAAATGTGCTATAAAATTGGTCAGTTATTATAAATTATCAAAACTAAGATATAAAAGATACACAGTTTTTGATAACACAAATAGTTATTTTTATTAAGTTGTATGTATTATAAATTATGATCTTTTTGATCATATCACCCTATGTATAGCTGATCTCAACCAACAGTGCAAAAGTAGTGCCCAGTGTTCAGCTGGCAATGAAAATGCATTTTGCGGAATGTCTGGATGTCAGTGCAAAAGTGGCTACAAATTGGATGTCAAAAGTAATGAATGTATAGCTCGACGACAGTGCGATTCATCGGCACTGGGATTCAATGACAAATATGAACGGGGAGATTGCGCTTCCGGTGAATTTTGTCGCCAATCAGTATGTCTATGTCTACCAAACTATAGACTATCCACCGATGACGACAAGTGTCACGCGCCAAATAGTAAGACAAATATGAAAAAAATTGTATTAATAATTATATATATATATTTTATATTGAAATACAGTATCCGATGAAAAATGGTACAACAAGTATGGCTATTATATAATCGCTGCAATGGCTGTACTATTGATACTAATTATTGCATTAATTGTTATTCAACTTAGAAGATATAGACGAATGTAAGTTAAATTATTTTATTTTATTATACATATTATTATTATTTCCAATATTTAATTTAATTTTTTTTAATAATAGACGTGGTTTACAAAACCAACAAAGTCACGATAGTAGAGATGTACTCAATGAGAGCTAAGATATTAGTTTAAATAGTATTTATTTATAAATATTTGTCACCAAAAATTACTTAAACTATTTATTTAATTATTTTAAACCAATTATTTTAAAATAACTTCAAATAATTTTAGAGATAAATATTTAAAATAGACTTTTAAAGTAATATAATTGAAAATCTCTGCTAATACTGTATTAATGTGATAATTTATTTTTTATTATTATTAAAATATTGATACATTTTTAGTTGTTATCACTAAAAATTGTTGTCATTGTTAATATTTAAAATATTTGTAAAAATACAGTAAGTTTTGATTAATTTTTGACGAGAAAGCATTTGCCAATTAATATACTGTACTAATAATAATTATGATGTACAGTATATACACTATATACTATACTATTGGAATATTTATTTTAATTAAGTGGTATATTTTATTTAATATTATATAAAAAAGGTTATTAAATTTGTGTATTAGAATTTTTTTGTTTTTTATCCATCGTCATCAGTATCAATGTCCGTAATACAAGTGCCCGCAATACCAGTGCCCGCAATACCAGTGCCAATATTACCAGTGCCCATAATACCAGTGCCAGTATATTCAAAAGTACAGTAATTTATAATACTTTTGATAATAATGCAGTCAATAAACGCACAGTTGGTTATCGTGCAGTTATTTAGAGTACAGTTAGTTAACGTAAAGTCCATTAAAGTGCACCCATTGATAGCACAATAGCTAACATTCCGTTTGGTAACAGTGTTCCCGGTGCTTGACATTCCAATTATTAATCAAATAGTCGACAAAAATTAAGTCAATTAATAATAAATACAATATATTATTATTAGACAACTTTAAAAATGTAATTTATTTGCAATTAAATAATATTATGAAAATTAAATATATTTTTCAATAAATGACTAAGATATTATTAAACTATGACTAAGATAAACAATTTATTTAATTTGTACTAGTCTATATGTGTGATTTACTTTTATCATGGTACTTTTCATAAATTATAATAATAACTAAAAAATTCATATATTTAAAGTTAATCATTGCTGGTTTAGTATACAACCTAGTATATAGATAATAGTAATAAATAATAATAATAACAGATATTTAATAATTTATAATATTTTAAATAAATTACATTAATATATGAATAAATAGTTGATACACTATAACTCATGTCTACTCAACCCTTATTTAGCATAAATATCTCATAAAACAGTGTAAATGTGATGACCGACACTCATGAGTAGTGTAAGTACTTATTGGGATATTTATATTATCAACAGTTTTCCAATCAAATAACAAAACTAACTTTAGTTTTATTATAGTTTAATTTACATTTAATTTTGTTATTAGCATATAATTATTGTATAGTATTCTAACAGTATATACAATAGTATTTTATAATTATTTAATTGTTTTCAAAAATAACTATTATATTAATTTATATTTTATTAATTTTATAATTAATCAAAATATTGTTGGATCCAATTTGTTAAGTAACGGTTCCATAGTTTGTTGCCACACATGATAACCGAGTTGAGTCAAATGCAAGAGACCCGACGTATATAATTCTGTCCTTATATGTCCCGACGGGTCTTCAAACTGTGACCACATATCCAGATAGTAAACTGTTTGTTGATTGTCCAGGTTTTTGATTAATTCATTCAATTGTTTGCATTTAGTGCCCAACGGTTCGCCGCGGGGTAAGACACCCAACAATATTAGTTTGCTTTTTGGCATTTTAGCTAATAATTCACGAACTGTCTCATTGACTCCATGAGCGATATCATCCAGTGTTTCGTTTAGATAGACATTATTAGTACCTTTTAAAATTAAACAACTACTGTATTATTGATTGGTTAAATTGTGATAGAGTTTTGTATAGTTAATACCAAATAATTAAAAATATTGTGGACATACCTATTAAAAGGACAATCACTTTTGGGTGAAGTCCATCAAACTCTTTATTCTGTATTCTATATAAAACTTGTTGTGTTTGGTCGCCTCCGATACCATAATTGTAAGTACCTCTCGATGAATAGTATTTACTCCAAACTGTCTGTCCATTTACAGCCCACTGTTCGGTGATAGAGTCGCCAACAAATACTATCATTTCATCATTCATATGATTGAGAGTTTGATTCACTAGTTTCTGGTGTTTTTTCATCCAATTGGCATCTCTTGGTTGCGGTTCCCAGGGTTTGACTGATACATATTGTTTTATAATAATTATGAAAACAAATAAATGTATTTTAGATAACATTTTAACTGTTTTTTTAAAAATATAAACTTGAATATATAATAATTTATTTCAAAAATATTAAAAACTTAGCATATTTTAGTAATACTGTATATACTTACTATATATATTGTTTATCAGAAATATTATATTAATAATATTAACATTTAAAACACTTGTGACTATTGAAATGATTATGAAATTCATACACTTAATACACTTATATATTGTAATACTTGAAAATATTTGTTTTCTGTCTTTATTTATCATTTTATAAATTTTGAAATTTTTATAATTATTTACTATTTTAGAAACTAAATGATAAAATAGGATATGTCTGTTACTTATCATCTAAAACTAGTAATATATATATATAATGTCAAAAAATGCTAATTATATTATTATTTCTATAAAAGCAAATATTACATTATCTAATGAAAATATGATAGTTAGTGATACTGTATTACTGTATAATAACTAATATAATAATATTATTTAGTTATAAAATACTAAAATTAATTCCACAATAATTTTTAAAAAGTTTTATTCTAATTAAATCTTATTTTTGTAAACAAAAATAAATTCTAAAATAAACTTTTTTAATTAATTTATTATTATTTTTATTATTAATTAGRAAAATATAAAAATTATTTAAATAATTTGCTGATAAGGGCTTCAGTGGATTGTTGCCAAACTTGATATCCCTTTTCGTTGAGATGCAGTTTGTCTGACACATAGAGATCAGTCTTTTGCTTTCCGTCGGCGGACTCAAAGTCCAACCACATGTCGTGCCAGAAGACGTTCTTCTGATTGTCCAACTTCTTGATCAATGTATTCAATTGTTTGCATTTAGTGCCCAACGGTTCAGCACGAGGTAAGACACCCAACAATATAAGTTTGGTTTCTGGCATTTTGCCCAATAATTCTCTAACTGTCTCATTGACTCCGTGTGCGATGTCTTCAATAGTATTGGATGCGATATTATTGGTACCTAACATATCATATAAAGTATTTGATTTTGTTATTAAGAATATTACATATTATTATCTGTAATATTATAAGTTTGAGGAAATATAGCAAACATACCAATCATGAGAACCGTTACTTTGGGTTTCAGTTCATCAAACTCTTTGTTCTGGATTCTGTAGATGACGTGCTCTGTTCTGTCACCACCGATGCCATAATTGTAGGCATGTCTTGGTGTGTAATGTTGGGCCCATACGTTGTGTCCATTACCAGCCCAGCCCTCTGTGATGGAATCGCCGACAAAAACCAACTGTTCATCTGTTTTATGAAGTCTTGTCTGTTCGAGTAGTTTCTCGTGTCGTTTCAGCCAACCGGCATCCCTGGGCTGTGGATCCCACGGATGACTTTCGGCCAAACATTGGCACAATAGTATAGATGCTATGACTAGTGTAAACTTCATAATTGTATTATATTGAATTAAAAAATTATTTCAATATAAAGATGTCTTACCGTTAAAACAGGTGCTTAAATAGCAAAGAAATAGTATTGGCAATAAAATGAAAAGTTTATTTTATCAAAGTTTAATTAATACGGATTTAGGATATTAATTGCTATCAATTTAATTAACTAATTAGATATTTTAACTATAGTTTATGATATAACAAGTATTTAATACTATTATCGAAATATTATGTGAATTTTGACAATTGTTACATATAATTTAGATAAAATAATGTATTACTAACATAAATAAAACAATTTATAATATTGTTATCATATATACCGCTACAATATTTATTTTTAAAAATGATCCTAACCTTGATTTATATATTGATATTATTAACAATATTTTTTGTAATATCTTAATAATTTGTTTAATTAAAATTATTAATAATTTGCTACTTATTGGTACATTAGTACTAAAATAAAATTAATTAATTTTATTAAGCTAATTACTAGATTATTTTAATTTACTAGAGATAAAGTTAAATATTAAATAATATTATTGTAAATTTTCTGTTTATTTAAACAAAGATTTAATAAATAAGCAAAAAAAAATTTATTGTTTATTTATTTTTATTAAAAGTAATGTTTTAAAAGTGTTATAGTATTTAAACTAAACTGAGCTCTTTTAAGTTTATTATAAATATTTAGTCTATAATTATAACTTATAATGTTAAAATTATGTTTATAGCAATATTTCAAGGTTATTTATTGTTAGATAATTGTTAGTTTATTAAATCAATACTTTGATCATTAAAATGCAATATTAGTTAGTTAGTTATTATTTGCAGATTTTAATAATTTAAACAATTTAACAGTTTTTTAATTGCTTATAATATAAATAAATACATAGATATATACAGTATTTGTGTAATTTAAATAAATTATTTAATAAATAAGAATATATTATGTAATAATTTTATTAATTTGTAATTAAAAAAATCATAACAACATTAATGTTTTCAACAGTTTTGTGCAATAAATTTGTAATACATTGACTAATTATAAACAGATATTTTGTTGTCAATTAAATTTTAGGTTATAAATCAATATACATATGTATATAATGTATTTATATAATACATATACTCTACTTTAAATATAAACTGTTAACTTGTAAACAATATAAAGTAATATAATTTACTGTAATATGAATTCATAAAATAATTATTTATCTACTGTATAATTATAATTAGCAATCTGTTATTGTTTCGTGAAAAACTATAAAAAAACTATATAATTATTACTTATTATTTTTTGGCATAAAACTTTATAGAAAAAAATTTACTAAAATAAATTAAACTATAAAATCTAAAGATTTATTTATATTTTTTAAACTCTACTATTTTATTGTCTATTTTATTATTTATATAGAATAATGGCATTAATTTATGAATCAAAAATTTGTATAATGGCAAACAAAAATTATCCAATTGTAGATAACAATTATAATATTACAAATAAAACAATTAATTTTCTACCATTTTATTTACTGCCATTTGTTTCATATTTTCCAGTTTATTATTATAATAAAAATACAACATTTAGAATTTGTGGCCCTCTTGTAAAGTTGCTTGTCGAATTTGTCAAACACTATAATATCAGGTAATAAATATGTTAACTTATAAAAAATATTTTTTTGAAATTAAAAATTATTTACTTTTATTTATATATTCATACTATTCATACTATTCATACTTATAATTTTCTATATAACTTTTATAAAAATATTTAAAAATAACTAATATTTATAAAAAAAAATTTACTATAAATTATCAAAATTCTAATGTAAATAATCTAAAAGTGTTTTTTTTGTAAATTAAACAAATTAATTTATAGATTTGTATTATAAAGTTTTTGCAATTTTCTAATTTAACATAATTGATCTAGATTATTATTAATGCTACCTACTAAACCACTTAATAAACTAATGGAAAATTATTTTACTAACAATATTCCTGATGTGGCACTAATGCCTATTAATCAGCAAATATATAACAATAGTAATATTTTAATGGACTTATTTGTGACCACAAAATACATTGATTACGACATAACAAGTATTATTGCTTATCGTAAATATCAGTTTGAATCTAAAAATATTATTTGGCATATATTTCGAAATTTAAAATTAAATATTATTGTGATAACAATTTTTGCAATAATAATCATTGCATTTATTTTATATTTGAATAAATATAATAATAATTGTAAAAATAAAACAATTGCATCTAATTTAACTGATGGTTTATATAATGTAATTACAATTAGTTTGAAACTGTTTTGTACATTATTCTCATCATATTTACCTTTAAATATAACAAAAAATATTACTATATCTTATATAATAATACTATCGTTTTGGTTAATAACTGTAATGATATTATCAAAATTTGTATGTAATATGATATACGAGTCAATGGTAATGAAAATGCCAGACATTGTGGTGAACTCGTGGTTGGATTTGTACGAACAAACCGATGCCCGTATTGTCGTCGAAAATTATGATCCATTGATTAGATTTACAGAATCTTCAAATTCATTGATGGCTCAAAATTTTCAAACAAGAATTGATAAATTTTATTTAACAGATTATATTAATAAAACATTTATAAATAAACTAATTAATAATTTAGTAACCGGCAAATGTGCTTATATTAAAAATAAACGTTCAATTGTTTACAATTTACGAGTACTACCTTATATAACAAATTTTACAGATAAGGAATATCTTAACAAAATACATGTTTCACAATATGGTGGTAATTGTGAGGGATTGTTTTTGTTATTATCTAAAATGATTAAACATCTCAAATCAAGTTTTGACATTTTGTAAGTTTTGTTTTTAATAAATCAACACAATTATAATTATTATTATATTTAAATTATAATATTTATTAATTATTTTTTTTACAAATATAATTATTAGAATTACAAAACTATACGAATCGGGTATTTATAACAAATGGCATAATTTGATGATTGATTACATAGAAGAAAGGTCTAAAACATTTAAAGATTATGTTCCCAATCACCATGGTCATAGTTATAAATATGTACAACTACAATTTTTACAAATTAATTATATATTCATATTTTATTCTATTTTAATTGCAATTTGTTTAGCCATGTTTATTTTAGAAATTGTTTATAATAACATATTCATGTATATAATTTTATATTATTTAATTAGTAATTAGAAACTATTATATTATAATGATTCATGGTTTGTCTAAATATTTATTGATAAAATATTATAAATATTTTATAATATTTATATTATGTATTAAACGTTTTTAACATAATATTTTGACATTATTATAATCTTTACATTTTATTATTACATTTTCATAATAAATTAAAAAACAAGGAAAAGACAAATAAAGGAGTGTTAAAAAATGAGAGACTATTTCTTTAATAATTATCCTAAATATATTAATATTATTATTTATATTTAATTAAAAAACAAACCGTCATGACCATCACCATGGTCATAGCTATAAATTTGAACAACTACAATTTTTACATATTAATCATATATTTATGTTTTATTTAATTATATCTTGTATTTGTTTAGCAACATTTGTTTTAGAAAATGTTTATAATATTTTAATAATGTATATATTTTTGCATTATTTGATTAGTCATTAAAGACTTAATTAATTTTTATATTAATTCTATGATTTACATCTATAAATGATTTCAAACTACTTATCATTAAAATTTTGTACATATAAATTAAAGCATTATTTTTATTTATAGTTATAAACAAATAATAGAGTTAAATATTAAAATACAGTAAAACTCAAGCGACATTAAAACAGTACAAATTAAAGTAACATATATATACATAATACTATTCTATGTATATATATATATATATAACTTAATATATTTTTTAGTTAATTAGACTATAATTAGAGATAGAAGTTATTTAAACATTACTTTCCTATAAAAACATTCTTTTTGTTAATTAAAAAATCAATTTGTAGTTAAAAAACAATTATTTATGTCATATAAATTTATATATTAACCTCTATTTTAAATATAGAATAGTATTCTATAGTTTACAAATACAAGTTCAGAAATATTAATTGATTGAATAATTATTTATTTATTAAATATGGATAAATACATAGACTTATATTGGTGTACTAAAAATAAATTATTCAAATTTAATAGTATAATAGTAATTTATGTTATAAATATGTAATTATAAAAATAAAATGACATAAGTTGTTTACTACTATTAGTACAGTAAAATTATAGAAAGACATAGACTTATTAAAAACAAATAAACTTTTTAACAATTAAAAAAATTAATATACATGTATATAATCTACTGTTTTTTATTTTATCAAATACACTAATTTTATAGAAATAAGTCTAAGTAAATATGCCACAATAAWATAAACTATATTATATCAATAGTATTAATAAATTATTAAATTTTTTTACATATATACAATCTAAACTATTTATTTACGATTATTATTTAAGTATAATTACTCGATAAAAAATGCAAATTTCTAAATATTTATTTATTGTTATAACAATAGTATTTTACTATTTATTTTATTATACTTCTAAAATAATGGCTTTAGTAATATATCAACAAAAAATTTGTATAATGGCTAACAAAAATGATCCAATTGTTGATAACAATTATAATATTACAAATAAAACAATTAATTTTCTACCATTTTATTCGGTACCATTTATAACATAATGATATTATCCATTTTATTATAATAATACAAATCAAACATTTAAAATGTGTGGTCCTCTCGTAAAATTGCTCATTGAATTTGTCAAACATTATAATTTCAGGTAATAAATATGAAAACTTATTTAATTATATAAAAATTTTTATTTTATTTTTAATTCTAAAATTATAAATATAATTTATTTTTTTTAAATTACAAATACAATCAATATAAGTTATTATTTAACAAATAAAGTATGCAAATATTTAAAATAAGCATTTTAGTAT